GGCAACTGGAGCAGCAGGGGCGGTCGCAGGAGGGACGGTTTCGATTGGAACAGGTGGAACGACTGGATTTCGCGCTACCGCCGGTGGAATAGTGCGTTCAGGGACTTCTGGTTGATTAGCAACTTCCATAGCGCGTTTAGCTTGGGCCCGTGTGCGTAGTTGATTAATTTCAGCCGTCAGAACTGCCATTCGTTCTTCGTCCGTGAGTTTGAACGTTTGAACGAGCCCAGGCGCCGCAGAAGACAGCAAATCCTGGTGAGAAACTTCCAAAATCATCTGCGGAGCTGCTGCCTGACCTGGGTTGGCTTCATGCCACTTCTGAATGCGCTCTCGAAGATCCTTTCCTTGGACAATATTCGGCACATATGCGCCTGAGGGGAGGACGACTTTCCCATCCACATTGCGGCGGCATTTTCCGTCTCGAATATCCGTCGAAACGTGGGGACATTGGCTGATAAAATGCTCGAGATCACTGCAATAACTGCAGCCATCAGGACGGCGACGGCGGGGCAGGGCGTTGGCGGACTGTGATTGTGCTGGGGCACCAGGATTGGCGTGTTGAGCAGCGATTATTCGAACTAGATCTGAGACGGATGAAACTAGTGCAGTAATTCCAGGGTCTGATTTGATTGTGAGCTCGGTTCCGGGCTGAGACGTGGGCATTCCAGGAAGTAAGGTCGATGATCCTGAAAGGACGAATTTAGCAGCGTCGTACAGATCTGACAAATCATATGGATCCTCAGGGTGAACGTCTGGCTTCTTGATCTGAAGTCTCTGGCGAACTGAGACGGACAACGAGGCTGGATTCATAGCTCGAAGGAAAAATCGGCTCTGTTCTGCCACAGAGAGTCGTTGTTTGCTAATCAGGAATGTTGTGATGTGTAGGAATCGTCGATAAAATTGTGTGAGGTCGTCCTTTGTGTGGATTCCCATGCGAGATGTCTGCCCAACGAGCATGTCCAAATCGTCGAGGCTGAAACGACGATCTGTGTCGTTCCCTGCGTAGAGGCTGAGGGCGTCCAATTTGAAGTCGTGGTACGATTTGTTGGCGTCTGAGAATGACGGTAGACCTTCCCAAATCTCCTGATCTTTGACGGAAAGGAATCTGACCGCATGCCCCTTCATTTGGGCAGCGTCAGTGACGGCAGATCGAGCTAGAAGGAACTCCAGATCGAGGAAATAACGGCGCAACTCGTGGGGCTTGGACGAATCAAAGACTGGGGCGTTTCGATCGCCTCTGGCTGGCATGGGAGTGGGAGTAGCCATATTTTGAGAAGGAATATTCGTGTTGTGAAGGGGGGATGGTGAACGCGTTGTTGGAGGCGAATCAAAGAGCCAGGATAGCGTTGGAGAGCTCGGGGAATGCGGTGAGAGGTTGTTGTGTTGTGCAAGGGCGCTGGGGACAATGTCAAAAAGGTGTTCGTCGTCGAAAGAGAGAGTTGTGGGGTCGTTGAGAGCAACAGCTAGCTCTTCACGGAGCGTGCGACGTAGCTCAGAATGATTGTTGTGTCGCAGACTGCGAGAGGCACCAGAATCTATGTTGAAATCCCCTCGCGGTGGGCTCCAAAATGACGTGCCTGCGGACGGAATAGGCGCGAGCTAACACAAAATGGGGGTCAGCTACGACCTAAAACAGTGCAGGAATAAATGTGATGTGCGAGGAGGTCCACAAGATTCAGTGCCGTGGCAGGCAGTAAGAAATGATGATTTTAGACGTGGGACGAAGTCGAGGGCGGCGTGGGACGGATGCGACGAAGCAGAGGGTCGAAATACCCAAGTAGAAACGAGCTGAAGACAAGAACTGAACTCAAGACTATGAGGAGAATAAATCTATTTTTCTTTTGTCCAACTACAAGCTTTTGTATGTGAGACAATGAAATAATCATCAGAGTGGGTGAAATATCGACAGGATGGAGCAAGGGACGGTGAACAGAGGAACCAGGGAAGTGAGAGGGGAAAAACAGGTACAAGTGGATGGTGAAGTAAGAAAGGCAGGGGTGTAGAGATAAATGTGCAGACAGCAGTCCAGGGATGTGAATATCAAAAATATATGCAGGGCTGGATGAACCAGTGAATAGCCAGGGCTGAGGAATATTGAGGAGACCCTCAGTTGTGTGCGAAGCGTGCGCCCACTGATTGCTGATTGACATGCACTGCCACACGTCAGGACTTGTCGGATAGATAGGCCAGTCCGTCACCGGCCAAAGGCTGTGTATTTTACAAGCGTCAATTAGAGCCAAGACCTATTACCCGCAACCATACTGTAGCTACTTGGTTGTATTCTCCAGTCTTCGAATTCACTTCTCTTTTCGACATTATTTCTTGTTGATTGTCATACAAAGGCGGCGCTCTAGTTAACAACATCACCAAATTTGATTACAACACACCACTAAAAGCAGTGCACCCGATCGGGGCCTTGGACACCTGTTTGCTGACTTCAATGTCACGGTTCTCAGGACACGCTCACCACGACTTTCTCCCTGATCCTGGCGCTTATTCACCGCACCTGGGATGCTATAGACAGCCCTTCGCCTGTCTTTGTCGTCGTCTATGTCCTTCACGAGGTGGACCGTCCCAGGCCCGCTCTGCAGGGCATCCGGGCATTGGGTCATGCACAGTCTCAAAGCGTTATGCACCTTCAATCTGACTCATAATCGTGCGAGGAACTTGCCCTGAGGGTGATTGCCGGCATCTTTGTTGCTAACCGTGGGCTGGCTCCGCAATGGTGGGGGGCTTGTTTTGGGGCTACGATCTCTGTATTCCCCTTCATATTTGCGCTCGCACGATGGACCGAGGTGGTGCGCATATATTCGGTATGGAGATCTAATGGTCTCTCCAGATAGGATCAGGTCATGCATTCCAGCCAATTTCAATATGCTCGCGATTCGAAAACTACTCGAGGATGTGTGCACATCACGTCTAAGCGACCCATCCAGCAACGAAGTCATCGATCTGCCCATGCCGCTTCACGGCGTCCTCCCAAGTCGGGTATTGCCCTTCGGTGGCAAAACGGTCATACAACAGTCCCACAATTTTTGACGGCAGTGGAGCAGTTGCGTCCCCCGGCCAGGACTCTTGTAGGTCAAATTCGACCTTCTCCACCTTGTCCGTCTCGAAATCATGCACCTCGACAACAATGCCGGCGGACACCATATGCAGCATGGAAGACGCCTGGTTCGTCACGCGTATCTCGCCCTTCTCGCCTGCGATGCTCCACACAAGCGCGGGCTCGCCCGGGAACGGGGGACTGCGGCGGAAGCGAAACAGCAGGGATGCGTCGCGCACGACGGTCGGCGACTCCGTCAGGCGTGCGGTGACGATAAATAGGTCCGGTACGTCGGACTTGATGGTGTCGGTGACGGTGTCGGTCGCGGGGTCGCGTACGGTGTTGATCGGACGTTGCAGCTGCGGCTGCGACTTGATCTCGGTGGCCTCGCCCAGAACTGCCTGTATCAGATCGAAACCTGCGAGAGATCGGGACCTAAGCATCTAAAGCTATTGTGGCGGCACATCACGCACCGTGGCCTCCAAAGATGGTGATGACATTCCCACCAACCGAGCGCTGGAGGAAATATTCGGCCCCTTTGGGCACTGAATCGCGTCCTTTGGTCGCGCCTGCGCCATGGAACTCCGTGCTCAGAACCTTCCCGATCCGCCCATCCTCGATCAGCTTCTTGAGCCGCAGCGTCAAGGGGCTAACACGGCCTTGCAGACCGACCATTGTCCGCCCACCACCATTTCGGGCGGCGTCAGCCAGTTCCTTTGCGTGCTTGGTATCTTGCGCTAGCGGCCACTCGACGTACACGTCTTTCCCAGCCTGGGCAGACGCGAGGACGGTCTCGTAGTGCCTGTCGACACGCGTGCTGCACACGACAAGCCGAATGTCCTTATCCGCCGCCAGTTCCGCGGGCGAACCGTACGCGCGCGTCTCGGCGGGGAGGTTGAAGTGCTTGATAGCAGCGAGAGAAGATTCTTTGGACGAGTTGAGAACGGCGACGATGGTGTAGCGAGATCGTCCGTGTGCGGAGAGCAGGTAGGGCAGGTGCGCAGAGACGGCCCACGACGAGGTCGAGTTCGCCGACAATCCGATGAGTGCAGTGGGGATGGGAGCCATGTTGATAGTAACGAACGTCCCCACTGACCTGCATTATAAGCAGGAGTCTCTGAGAGAGATTTATCAGCCGATTCGATATGAAGCTTTCTGCTTACTGAGCTGTGCCATATCGACGCGATTCCAATATGACTGCCGGAGTGAGCGGGAAACGATGGTCCTCGTACGTAGAGGTGCCGTGCGAATTAGTCACCACTACTTCACAATATTTGGCTGATTGGCCCAAGGGCTGTGCTTCGTTGTCTTAAATTGTACAGCGGTTTCTTGACCGGCAGCCGGATTTTACGCAGCACAAATCGATTTATCAAGGCGTGGTCAAAAAGGCTCCGGAAGGGCATCCGTGTATTTCTCTATCAAATTCCATCGCGAACAAAATTTCCGTTAGACGAGCAAAAAAATTAACATCTTCATCAATTATTCATGTAAATAATAGAATGTTGATCACGCAATTGGGAGATCCTTGAAATGAACTTGTCCTGAACCGTAAACGGTCCGTCACAGGTCAATCACATCTAATCACACCCAATGTCACACTCAACAAGACCTTCCATTACCTCTCATCGACCTCATCTTACATCTGTGGTGTCCTTCAGAAATCCGCCGTATCCTCCGAGCCACTTCGAAACTATCCTGTCTTGCAGGCGATCTCTCAACCCATAGCCTCGCCCCTCTTGCTGCACACCGACTACTGATGCACAACTTGAAAGATCACTCTGAACATCGAACCACTCGTTGATGAACCTAAATTTCTCCTGCCTTCTTTGCTGCTATGATTGGCCGTCAAAGCTGTAAATAACAGGGAAGTAGAGAATGTCAGTCCCCGACTATTGAGGGGCTGTGTATCGAGATTGGTCCTGCACGGAAGACGCCTAGACAACAGCGAGCCGAGGTGGCTGGTACCCTGGAAGACTTGCGCCCTAGGCGGGGTGCACGCTCCTGCCGCCCAGACCTTATACCGGTCACTTGTCCCTTGGGCCCACCCCTCACACCAGTTGATACCGTCGATAACGATATCACCATCTATGCTCACTAGAATGCTCGTTCACATTCACACCCGACCGCATACTTTGCGGCCCATACACAAGGCTTCGGAGACAGCGATCCAGACTTGCGTGTTCGTGTCTTCCTGAAAGGCGTCTCGATCGCTTGCACAATCTCCTCCGGAAAACTGTACTGAGCTGGAGATCCATCCACTTCTGCCCCAGGCGCTCAGATCAGAGGGTCACCGATCTATCCTCTAGGTCGATCTTTCGCTACCGATGTCCTGGTCATGCGTCCCCTGATACCTTTGTTCGGATAACTGGCCGCGGAATCCTTTCCGTCGACGAAGTCCGTCACCCTCCGTGTGTAGTACGAGGCTGGTCCAATGAACTCTGTGCCTGTCACCGTTCCTCGTGCTTGTGTGCTCGCCATTGATGGGGCTGGGAGATCGAGAGAGACGGGGCCCGGCGCGTCACTGCGGATATCGGACCGCTTCCGCGGCTCTTCGATGTTCAGCAGTGTGTCCTACGCGCAGGACACTTTCACCTGCTGCTGAAGCCGCATCCTCGCCACATCTGATATCGACTCGTAGCATTCAACATTCCTCACATTCACCAACGCTGCCATCGACGACGTTTACATCATACTTGTATCCTCGTTTGAACGCCTTTGCATGTATCTCATTAGCCATTACCTCGCACTGTCCCCCTGTTTTATTCTATCAATTCGTCTGCTCTGCACAGTGATCCCGCATGATGACTGCTCTACTGATGAACATAGCGAGCCGGTCTCATGCGAATTCGATAACCCAAGCTCAATTGTTCGTCGAGCTGCGATTGGATGTCCCCTTGGAACAGACTCGGGAAGCGGGGAGGTGTGGGACAAACAAGAACAAGCATCATTCAACCGCGATTTGCACCGTGACTTTGCTACCCAGACTATCGGTTTCTTACGCTATCCCCCTTGGGCCATCCTGAAAGCCGCCTAGGTGCATGGCACCACGCGCGCAAACCACGCCGACTCCGACTCAGGTGTTCCTCCCCAAAGCCGAGTTCCGCAGAATCGAAGACGATGTCTCGACTCAGCCCAGTGGCGTGCACGACAAGCAGGCGCAGAGTTTCGGATGTGCGTCTCCTGTGGACGATGTCTTTCGGTCGGGATACTAAAAAGACGCGTAGATAATGACTTTTCAGAGTTCGAGCGACCGGATTTGTATATCCGGCACATTGGTCAGTTTGCGCGCGAGTTTGCGGTGGTGCTTTAGCTGAAATGTCTACTCGCGGATTAGAACCTCTCGAGGAGGATCTTGAGCGGCAGGTTGAATATGACATGGATGAGCAAGGTGGGCCGGGTTGGTGCATTCGAGAATTGGAGAGTCATCGCGCGACAGATGAGGAATGGCTGAACGCTGTGAACGCGGAACGCAGGAGCGAGCAGATGGATCGAATTACGTGCGAGGTGTTCGAGGTCGTGATGGATCGACTGGAGAAGGAATGGTTCAACCTGGTGCGCATGCCTCCGTTCCCGCTCCCTTTCCTCGACCGAACTCGAACCCTGCAGTCTAAACACGTTAAGAAACCGGATTTCGGGCTCCCGTCCGAAGACTCTACTTGTGCGATCTGCGATGACTCGGAGGGAGAGAATAGCAATGCGATCGTGTTCTGTGACGGGTGTAATCTTGCCGTACATCAAGGTGCGCTATGCGCTCTAGGTGCTGCCGTTGATTTTACACGAAATGGAAGACTGCTATGGGATACCCTATATTCCCGAGGGCCAATGGCTGTGTCGAAAGTGTACCGTGTCGCCCGAGAATCCTGTTGTCAGTGAGAGTCTTATGTGTCTTCTCCATCCATCTTATGTCTTGCAGTCTTGCATTCTATGCCCGAATGAAGGCGGAGCGTTCAAACAGACCGTGGACGGGGAATGGATTCATCTGCTGTGCGCAATCTGGGTGCCCGAGACTGCAGTTGCCAACGATGTGTTCATGGAACCTATCGTGGGGGTAGAGAAGATTCAGAAGCAGCGGTGGAAACTGGTGCGTTCTCATCATAGTGCGGAGATCAGGTACCCAACGGCACGTTGATTACAGAAATGTCAAGAATGTGGTGTTCGAGAGGGCGCCTGCATCCAATGTGCCAAAACACAATGCTTCGCCTCGTTCCATCCGACCTGTGCCCGAACGGCACGGTTTCTGATGCCCATGAAGAGCAGTGTCTCAGGCGTCGAGCCAACTGCGTTGACCTGTTTTTGCGACAAACACCTCCCCGTTCGTGTCCCTCGTATACTGTCTCGATCACTACTCAATGAGCTGCAGAAAGGGCAGCAGGAGGTGCGCCGGGCCGCGTTGGAAGCGGCGGAGCAGGAGCAAGAGGACTTTGACAGCGCTAAATTGTCCAAGTCTGCTCGAGCGTATGCCAAGACGTACAAACCCGGTGCACCACTAGTGCCAGCGATCATCGTCGACCGAATCCTGCAGTATATCGCCAAAACGTCCGTCCGAAAGAAGCCTGACTTTGTGACATTGGTGGCCAGATACTGGAGTCTGAAACGGGAGGCCAGACGAGGGGCCCCGTTGTTGAAGCGGTTGCATTTGGAGCCGTGGACGGCGAGTAATGGAGTAGATATGTCCGGGGAAGAAGAGAAAGCCATCAAGTTGGAGGTGAGTGTGGTGGGTTTCATCACTGATTCGGGATCCTATGAAATGAGCAGTACCTCAAACGGATCCGGGACGACCTGGAACAGCTTAGGAATCTCACCGAGCTTGCACGCAAACGCGAAAGTCGCAAGTTGAAGCAAGCGGAGGTCATCCGAGATACACTAGGGACAGCCTTCTGGCCTCACGTGCCGCTCTTGAAGGCGCTGCTCACTCGTATCGCCAAGTGAGCGATGTGCGACCATTTTCATTACAGCTGAAATAACCCGTGGCAGGATGGATTCTGCCAGCTATTTCTCAAGTCCTGTTGACAGGACCGAAGTCCCGGACTACTTTGATGTCGTCAAGAACCCGATGTGCTGGAGCGAGATTGAGAGCAAGATCCTGAGTGCTACGTACTGGGATCTGCAAGCTTTTATCGTGTGTATCCTGCACTTGATATGGCCAGAAGCTTATAGCGTCGATAGGCTGACGTTTACCTGGTCCTGGACAACGCGGTCTTGTACAACGCAGTCACCAGCAACATCCACAGAGCCGCACTGCGAATTCGAACTTCATTGGGACCCATCTTCACTGACGCTGCCAAGCTTTGTACTTCCCCTAACGTCGCTGCCATGGAAGAAACATGGGAACGACCCCTGACTGGAGACCTGGAACCCCCACTCGAGGTGCTCGATCTACTTTCGTCGTCTGAAGTTATCCGGGATGAGACGGAGCTAATCCTTTCGTCTGATCCGATCATCTCTCTTTTGAACTTTGAGCTGGAGAGGCGGAAGCCTCCGCCGCCCCCGCCACCAACGAAAGCCGAGATCGAGGAGGAGAGGAGAATTCAGAGGAACGCAAAGGAAAGGGAGCGGCGACGGCTGGAAAAGGAACGCAAGGACCAGGTTGCGGCCGCCCGACTGGAGAAGAAAGCCCAGCGGGAAGCCGAGGAGAGCTCGGCACCGCCACGAACCAAGGCACCACAACTGCCACTCGAATCGCAGCCACAACCTGTCGAGTCTGTCTCTGCTCCGGTCCGGTTGAGACGACAGAGCGCCACGGAGGGCGATATCCCGCTGATTGAAGAGGTTGACAACCAGAAGTCGTTCGATATGTTCAACGAAGGCTGGATCCTGACGGGACAACGGCGAAATGCCAGGCAACTTCCTACTCCTAGTGCCCCGCCGCCCCCGTCCAAGAAGCGGAAACGCGTCGGTTCGTTGCTCCCCCTGCAGCTGACGTTCGTGCACGTGACCGAATATGACAGACAGCAAGACACCCGGGCTATCGACAAGCTTGAGCACTCCTGTGTCTGAATCGTTCCCGGAAGAGCCGCCGATCGCGAGTAGCTCGAGGCCACGTGCGTCGCGGCAGCAGCCGGAGCAGATCGAGATTCCGCCGCCGAATGTCATCCGCATGGAGGACGGGCAGGTCATCGTCGAGCACATCGACACGCCGCTCATCCGCAAAGCCAAGAGCAAGAAGGCCAAAGAGGCACGTGCGCTGTTGAAGGCGAGCGCTTCCCAGCCCGCGGCGGCAGATGAGCCCGCGTCGCTGGGGCCGTCTGTTCCCTTGTCGACCCCGGCCACGGACGATGTCGATGCCGAGGGCTCGTCGGACCTGAGTCCCCTCAGCGATGCGGTCACGCCGGGTGTTCCGGCCATGGGCCCCGCGGATTTCGACGTGGCCGAGTCGATGCAGAACGATCCGTCGGAGCTGTCCCAGGCCGATCCGCAAGCTCTCCTCGCTGCTGGACCCGAATCTCTCTCTGCTGCTCCGGAGCCGAAAACGCGCCGCCAGCAGGGTCACTTTACTTTGGCGCCCGGAAAGTCGATTGAACCGATGACGCTTGGTGCGTAGACTTGTTACTTGTTTGATTGTTTTCTGCATCTCAAACGATGTATGCAGTGTGGGCCCAATACTGTGCGTACTCTCTCTGTCTGGATCGAGTCGCGCGGTGTGCTGACGGCTGATTAGCGACGTTTCCGTTCTTCCCGGGGATCATCATTCACGAAGACGACGACAGGATACCCCTCAGCATCCACTCGCTCGCGCAGAAGGTCAACAAGGACAAGGCCAAGAAGGAAAACTACCACTTCGTCCAGTTCTTGGACAATACGCGGTCATGGTGAGCGTGTTTCTGGACTTGCGTGTGCCTCCTTGCCGACCTGGAATGTTTTTGTAGGCAGTATGTCCCGATGGAACGTCTCCGTATGCTAGGGGAGCTCCCAGGTAGGACTGACTTCTCTCTCCCGAATCGTGCCTGAGGCCTGAGGCCTGATCTTCCGTTCCCCAGAATTGGACAAGGAGATGTTGACCGGCAAGCGGCCCGACCGCAGCAAGAAAAAGTCGTCTGCGAAGGAAGTCCAGGATCTGAAAAAAGCGTACCAGTAAGTAGGCATTCCACCCGGTGCCGATTCTTTTCTTAAGATCGAGTCGACTGATTACTATTATCTTTCATCTGCAGAGCGGCGATGGAGGAGATGGCGGAGGAGGACCGAGCCAAGTTTGACAATCTGACGGCGTCGTGATGTTATCTATCATTCGTGTTGTATTTCTAGTTGTAGCGTAGCCTGTTTTTCTTCTCTTTTCTTTGCTTCCGTAGCGTGTATATCTCGTTGCTTTCGACGCTATTTGTTTCTACTGCCGATCCATGTGGCTCGAAACTGGCCACTTTTGAACCGCCTATCGCGGAGATCCGCGGCGGCCTAAACCGTGCCTCGATAAAAAAAAAACTTGTGGGGATCCTCGATGGTCGCCTCTGAGCACGCTTCTGGGGCGAGTTTTTCGGGTTTTGTGTATCACAGCCGGTGCTCTGATGCCTGCTTCCAGTGCAGATTAGATTTTCGTTGAACAGGTTCTTTAATTTGGGCGTGCGATTCTCGGAGCGAGGGCATCGCTGCTCCTGGACCGCGTCGAGATCGCGGCTGGCCCGTCCTCGCGCATCAGAGGCACTCGATAAGCAGATATGATTTGTGACACCGGTGTTTTCGACACACCGCTTGCTTCGCTGAGTTCCATGCGATAATCCAGTGACAATGTTGCATGGATGATGGCTATGCTATGTACGACCGGCCGCCTACTGGCCATCCGGGCACGCGGAGCGCCCAAACTCGATGTTATCGAAGTACGGGCCCTTGTGGTTGGTCACATTCGACGACAGCAACGAGTTGCCCTCGGCGCAGTTCTTGTTGTCCTGCCCGGGACACGTGACGAAGCTCTGCTGCGTCGCGTCGGTGATGTGCACCTCGCCGCTCGAGTGCTGGAAGCCGAGGAACCGCGGCGGCACGGTCGGCACGGGGTCGTGCTGGTTCGTCATGAAGCTCACCCCGACCTGCCCGTCCAGGAAGTCCGCCCACGCCTGGTTCCCGCCCCGCGGCAGCCCGAAGCCCGTCACGGACACCTGCACGGAGGGGTCCACCGCGCTCTTGAGGAACGCGCCCGTCATCGTCGCGAGTGCGGCGCCTGGATGGAAACACGCGGTGAGATGGCGCGCGCGTGGGGGGGCGCACGGTTTATGCGCTATGCGAGGGACATACCGAGACTGTGGCCTGTCACGGCGACCTTCTTGGACCCGGTCGACGCCAGCGCCTTCTGCACACCGGCGAGCAGGCCGTCGGCCGTCCGCTCGAACGTCTGCTGGAACCCGCTGTGCACTTTGATGCCCTCTGCATGCGGTTTCAGTGCCAGTCATATCTGGCGTACGGCGATGATCCACTCACTGCCGGCTTGCGCGGGGAATCGCGTCGCGTTGAGGTCGACGAGGCCGAACTGGACATCGTTGAGGATGGACAGACTGCAGATGTCATTCGAGGCGTGAAAGGCAGCGAAACTAGGACGACGCGTACATGCTCTTCGAGTCCGTTCCCTCGTGGGCCACGACGAGGCTGTTGTCCGACGCGTCATGGGCGATGAAATCTGTACGCGCGGTCACGGTGAGTGTCGGCCCGGTATTCCGGCCACCAGACGGCACGACGTACAGAGAGGAATGCGGCCTTGATCTGCGCAGACATGGATGAGGCCCCGACACAGCAACACTATAACAAGAGTGCTGCTCACCTCCACCGGCTTGCAGGAAGGTCACGTTCTGCAGCGCCTGGCACGGCGCGCCGCACGTCCAGTTGCTGATCGACGCGCTCGAGCAGTACGCGACGCGGGCGAACTGCGCGGGGCGCAGGAGCGTGGACTCGACGTTCGCGAGGGTCAAGGCCGTCGTGCTGCCCGTCGCGGGGCTCGCGGTGCCGCCGCCCAGGCCGAACAGCGGGGCGCCGAGGGCGGGGTGCGCCAGGGCGGAAAGGAGAGGAAGCAGAGCAGCGAGCATGGTGAAGAGAGCGAGTAAAAGTACGGGATGGCGCTGCCACCGAGAAGGAACAGAAAAACAAAAACAGACGGGAGGGAGGGAAGAGAAAGAGATGCTCGAGACGATGTGCTCGGATTGCCGGAGATTTAATATGTGGGTTTCAGATAGTGATGCGAAGCCTCAGTGACAGCAACCGACACAACGTGCCAGCGTTGGGCTGGCGACCGGACTGGCATAGAAGATGGTCGAGGGTCTCGGGCGCTTGCGTGTCAGAGGTCGTTGGATCACAATCAGGCTCAGCCGGCGCAAGCGATCTGGGCGCACGTTTCGGACTCAGAAGGAGGTGGAATCTGCCGGACCCTGGTCACCGTAGAACTTCCGATCGCTTCCGACCATCTTATCGATAGGATGAGAAGAGTAATTGATCTCCAAGGGTGTAATCTTGGAAGTTTTCCTCGTGATTCTCATGTACGCGACTTCTCTGCCTTCGCGTACGAAATAAACTCGTCCTGTCCGAAAATACGTAGTGTACCTTTCTCCAGAACTCCTTTCGTGCATTCTGGGTCACTTCTAGCCCATTGATCGCCTGTGATCGCCTCTCCCCGGATCCGGAATGAAGCGATTTGATCTGTCACAATATATAGGAACGGCCGGTCGAGTCGCGTGCCGGCCCTGCTTTAGATTTGCCCCATGCTATTCTTCCGGTCCAAAAACGCGCACCACGACGAAGGGAGCCATTCGAATGACCAGCAGCTGGAGGTCCTGCTCGATCACGAGTATCTGTTCCTGAGCGGCACAGGCCTGGATGTCGAACCCGCGCATCTCTCCGGCCGCGTTGTGCTGAACCTGTCCGAGCCGACGACCATCCGCTCGGTGTCCCTCCAGTTCCGGGGGAAAACGTACCTCTCTGTGCCCCCGCAAGACTCGCAATCGACGAACAATCCCCCCTCGACGTATGTCCTGTGCAAGCACCACTGGTCTTTTCTCGAAGGGCGGCACAAACACAGCTACACCCTCCAGGCCGGGCGCCACATCTTCCCCTTCCAGCTTCTGCTCGGCGGATCGCTGCCCTCGAGCATCGTGACGGACGCGTTCGGGGGCGCGTTCGTTTCGTACAAGCTCAAAGCCACTGTGGAGCGCGCCGGATTCAGCCTCAACCACAACATCACCGCGACCGCGCCGGTGTACATCATCCGCTCCCTCAGTGCCTCCGCGCTCGAGTACCAGCAGACACTCGAGATCGAGCACCCGTGGGCGGACAAGCTGCTGTTCTCGATCGCGATCCCGCACAAGGCCTGGGCGGCGGGCGACGACCTGGTGGCGCTGCTGAAGGTCTCGCCGCTCGTCAAGGGGGTGGGGGTGTTGAGCATCACGACGTCGGTCAAGGAGACGACGAAGTTGTACTCCCGGGCAGAGTCGGTCACCCGCACGGTGGCGAGTGTGACACATGAGATTGTTGGAGGGAAGGCCGTGGTAGCGAAAGAGCCGGTGGATCGGAAGGGCAAGATGCCCCACTTTTCTCTGCATCGGCTGGGCAGGTCGACCCCGGAACCGGACGAGGGCGCGGGTCCTAGTAATAGCAGGACAAGTCTTCGTTCCGAAGTCGCTCGGGATCCTGCTCAGAGCGAGGATGACATTGTGCGTTCACGTTCCCCGATGCCATTTCTGCTTATTGATATCCTCCCAGGTCACTGCCCTGCACCTGCAACTTGCGCCCCATCTTACGCCAAGCCACGCCTTCAGTCCAATCACAGTTTCGCATGTCATCCACTGGAGCCTTCTTGTCACGAACGCCGATGGGCACCTGTCTGAGCTGTACTGCACATTGCCCATCATGCTGATGGACGCGCAACTTCTGCATCAAGTCCAAAAACACACGCGCTTCGCACGTCGACTGCTCTTCGTCGGGCCAGACGATAAGCCACAGCAGTCCGAAGAAAACGGGGAGCTCCCCAGCTACATCGCGCACGTGCGCGACCGAGTGGCGAACATGTTCATCACCGACGGCAACTCGCTGCGGGTGACGAATCCCTGGATCCACGCGGGAGTCAGCCCGACGCTCGTTGACGGCGAGGACCCCAAATCCTCGGGGACGGTCACGCCGCTGCAGCTCGTGTCCGACACGAACGACGCATACGTGCCCGACCCGGACCACCCGGTCTTCCTCGACTGGGTCAGCGCGGAGCTGCTCATCTCGCACGGCGTCTCGAAGATGCACACGGACTCGGAGCCGCCCAGCGGCACCCACACGCCGCGCGACCGAGAGCCGGCCGTGCCGCCGCTGCCGCCAACACCCTCGGCAGCGGCGGCGGCGGCGGCGGCCCCGCTCGCGGCGGACGGGGCGCGGATATACACGCACGACAGCCCCGCCAGCCACGAGCGCTCCGGGATATTCACGGCCAGCATGGAGCCGACGAGCGCGCTCTCCCATCCGTACTGGCTGCTCTCGCACAGACCGGATCCACACGCGGCACGTGTCTCGAGCAACGACCTGCAGAAGCGCGTCCGCGAGATCTGTGTGCCCGCGCCGCAAGTTGGCTCATCTCTGCTGCATCGGGCGTTTACGGAGGTGCCGGATTATGACGTCGCGTTGAAGGGCTTCCTAGGTGGGGTCCCGCCGCTGACCAGCACGATAGGCCTGCCTTCTTATGAGGAGGCGGAGCGGGCTGGGTCACCAGTACGGACCGGATCTCCGGCTTAGATAGAGTGTATATGTACTTAGCCTTAATGTCCTTGGGGTCTGGGTGTTATCCATGACAGCAAAATTGAATATCTTGCCGGCGAGTGAGATCCATCGGCCGACTAGCTCAGCTGGTTAGAGCGTCGTGCTAATAACGCGAAGGTCTTGGGTTCGATCCCCACGTTGGCCATTGTTTTTGCTCTCTATCTTGCTCTCACACACACACACATAGAGCCTGCCTGCAGAGTGGCCCTAGGATCCTCCGCCTTGTCAAGGACACAGTCAATGACTAAGATTGGTGAAGGGTCTCTGTAAAAGCCTAGGTACAGTGAAAAAGTGCCAGGACTGGGGAAAGTTCAGACTCATATGAAGCATTTAAGTTCCCGTCAACTATATGACGAAGTCCCGTGGCAACGCACGGGTTACTGCTAGTCCAGCTACAAATAGCATCGATGATACTGATCAATTCCTACATCAATTACTATATTGGGAAGTAAAGTTATTCTACCAAACAGTAGTGCTCTCACAGCAGTTCCCCTTGTGCTATTCTCCTACAGAATGTTAAGATTTGGGGAGCCCTATTGGCAGACAGATAAACTAGACCAATATGGGTCATATCAGGTCCGGCTTGTTTTGGGTTGCATTATCTCTGATATTCCAGCCACCTATTTTCAGCTCTCTTTACGTGAAATTAGGTTCAATAAGAGAGAGCACAATAATGTACCTGTTGATTTACTTATTGAATATTGCGGATAAGACAAAGTGCTGTGATATCAACGTCGACGGATGCCCTTTCGGAGCCTTTCGACCGCGCCTTGATAAATCGATTTGCATCGAGTGAAATCCGGCTGCCGGTCAAAAAAACCGCTGAACAATTTACGACAACTAAGCACGGCCTTTGGGCCAATCAGGCCGATGTTGCAAAGTAGTGGTGACTAATTCGCACGCCACCCCTACATACGAGCACTGCGATTTCACGCTCATTCAGACAATCATATTAGAATCACGTCAATAGGACACAGCTCAGTAAGCAGAACACTTCATATCGAATTGGCTTATGAATCTCTCAGAGACTCCCTGCTTATAATGCTGGCCAGTGGGGACGTTTGTTACCATCAACATGGCTCCCATCCCCACCGCACTCATTGGATTGTCGGCGAACTCCACCTGGAAATGGTCGGGCTCTGCGCACCTGCCCTACTTGCTCTCCGCACACGGACGATCTCGCTACACCATCGTCGCCGTTCTCAACTCGTCCAAAGAATCTTCCCTTGCTGCTATCAAGCACTTCAACCTCCCCGTCGAGACGCGCGCGTACGGTTCGCCCGCGGAACTGGCGGCGGATAAGGACATTCGGCTTGTCGTGTGCAGCACGCGTGTCGACAGGCACTACGAGACCGTCCTCGCGTCTGCCCAGGCTGGGAAAGACGTGTACGTCGAGTGGCCGCTGGCGCAGGACACCAAACATGCAAAGGAACTGGCTGACGCCGCCCGAAATGGTGGTGGGCGGACAATGATTGGTCTGCAAGGCCGTGTTAGCCCTTTGACGCTGCAGCTCAAGAAGCTGATCGAGGATGGGCGGATCGGGAAGGTCCTGAGCACGGAGTTCCATGGCGCAGGCGCGACCAATGGACGCGATTCAGTGCTCAGAGGGACCGAATATTTCCTCCAGCACTCGGTTGGTGGGAATATTGTCACCATCTATGGAGGCCACGGTGCGTGATATGTCGCCATAAGAGTTCTGGGATGCTTAGGTCCCAATCTCCCGCAGCGTTCGATTTGATTCAGACAGTTCTGGGCGAGGCCACCGAGATCAAGTCACAGCCACAGCTGCAACGTCCGATCAACACTGTACGCGACCCCGCGACCGACACCGTCACCGACAACATCAAATCCGACGTACCGGACCTATTTATCGTCACCGCGCGCCTGACGGAGTCGCCGACCGTCGTGCGCGACGCATCCCTGCTGTTCCGCTTCCGCCGCAGTCCCCCGTTCCCGGGTGAGCCTGCGCTTGTGTGGAGCATCGCAGGCGAGAAGGGCGAGATACGCGTGACGAATCAGGCGTTTTCCATGCTTCACATGGTGTCCGCGGGTATTGTTGTCGAGGTGCATGATTTCGAGACGGACAAGGTGGAGAAGGTCGAATTTGACCTAGAGGAGTCCTGGCCGGGGGACGCAACTGCTCCACTGCCGTCAAAAATCGTGGCACTGTTGTATGACCGTTTTGCCACCGAAGGGCAATACCCGACTTGGGAGGACGCCGTGAAGCGGCATGAACAGATGGATGACTTCGCTGCTGGATGGGTCGCTTAGACGTGATTTACATGCAACATGTACAACATGTCGACAAACAAACATATTAAAATTGGCTAACAGGAAATGCTTGACCCGATCACATCTGGAGAGACCAGTGGATCTCCATACAGAATATATGCGCATCGCCTCGGTCCATCGTGTGAGTGCAAACATGAAGGGGAACCCGGAGATCATAGCACCTCAAAACATGCCCTTCCTCCATTGCGGACCCAGCCCACGGTTAGCAACAAAAATGCCGGCAATCACCCTCAGAGAAGGCTACCCTTTGGGACCGCGCACGACCCTCTCTGAGCTCTCTCTGAGCTCTCTCTCTCCATCTCTCTCTTCAGACATCGCCCTTCTCTGCCCTTCCCTGACGAGTCATGACCCCATTTACAGAAGACCGATATGATATAACAGCAGATGATACAATACAATAAACTATGTACAACCCCCTCAGTGCTACCTTTCCGTCCTCTCGCTCGTCCGCTCGACAATGGACGTCCCGTCCCGGAACCTCGTCCGGAAGAGAACGTTGGCATTCGTGAACAGGCCCTCCTTCAGCGAGACGACGATGAACTGAGAGCCCTTGAAGCGCGTGCGGAAGAGCTGCCCGATGTGCTGGGTGTGCGACAGATCGAGCGCCGCGTCGATCTCGTCCAGGATGTACATCGGGGCCGGCTTGAACTGCAGCAGCGACATTATCAGGGACAGCGCGATGAGCGAGCTGGTAATGTGCGCGTGTGCGTGTGTGAATCAACGTGGACATCATAGAATTCAGCGCGAGCACGCACCGTTGCCCTCCACTCAGCTCCGTAAGACTCTGCTTCCACACTTTGCCCAACTGCACCTTAACCTCGAGTCCATCCATCAGATCTTGGCCGTCTGGCGGCTGCAGCTTGGCAAAGTTTCCGGGCAAAAGCTCAGCGAAGATCCCGCCAAAATCGCTGCAAGGTATTAACCAACTGGCCAGGTAGACGACATGGTAGTTTGACGCACCCGTCGACTTTCTTCCAGGTCGTCTCCAGCGCCTCTCGCTTGAACCGGTCCAGTTCCGCGATGGTGTACTCGATCTTTTCCTTGTCTTTGACCACTGTGCTCAGCATCTTCTTCAAACTGGACTCCCGCTTCTCCACACTGTGAAATGTCAGCTATCCAGGACACTTTACTGCGGTAAGAACATACGTATCGATCATCGCAAGGACCTTCGGATTGATCGTTTTCTTCATGCCCTTGCTCTTTTGCATCAACTGCTCCACTTGAGTCTTGAGCTCGACAGGATTCGTCCCGGCAAAGTCAAAAAGCCCTCCCGGCTTCCCGAATTGGCTGCCCAAGTTCAAACCAGACACACTACAGACGGCGGCGGACGCACTCTTTCTCGACCTGGATCCAGTCATGCTCCTTCTCCAGCTGCGCGATGTAGTTCGAAGACGCTGTGATGTCCTTCTTGAAGCCCGTTATCTGAATACCGATCTTCTGGATGACGAGATCGATATCGTGCATGGCCGTTTTCCTCGCTTTGATGACTTTGTCGAGCTCCTGTAGCTCCTTATCGAAGCGCTTGAGGGTCGCGCGTTCTTCATTTAGCTTTCGGGACGCTTCGTCGTAATCCCTCTGCCTCAGTTCAGAGCGCACGTCCCCGACACTATTTAAAGCCACGGACCTGTTTCTTGGCAAGCTGTTTCTCAAGCTGCTCTAGCTCTTTCTTCAACGTGTCCACGCTATCAACGGCTTCTTGCACCGATTCCTTCGTGCTCTCAATGTCAGCGTCCATTTGCTCTGGCGGCCATACTCAGCCAAATTCACAAGCATAGCAAGAGTTGCACTCACCGAGCTCGAGCCTGGCAGTCTGATCTTCTTTCTGCTGGAGCTTGAGCCCGACGGAATGTTTCTGCAGGGCCGACTTCTGCTTCAAGATCTCGGCTTTAAGCTCGTCGATCTTGCCCTCTTTGTTGTTCTTGAACTCGTCCATGTCACGTTGGAGCTTGACACACTCGGCCTCGGCCTGTTTCTGCCGGTCCTGCGCAGAACTTGTCCCTTCCTCGAGCTCTTGGATCGTCTTCTTGAGGGTCGCGATCTGGACTTCGAGCTGCGAGGTCGTTATGTCGTATGCACAGCACATCTTGGAGATGGGAGACCCACTTGTGCCGCGTTGCTTCCTTGCAACTGCTCCTCCATCAATCTGAGCTCGTGTTCCTTCATATCCAGTTCTTTGACGCGGACCTTCCACTCTTCCCGAACCTTCTCCGACTTGCCCAGCTCCCTCTCGAGATCCTGCAGTTGCTGACGAGCAGCATCTAGTTCCTCCTCCGCAGCGATGTACTCCTGCACCTTGATCAATAGGCCCGTGGCGTTCGGGGCTGAGCCACCCGACAAAGTGCCCGAGGGATCGTAGACGTCGCCGGCGAGCGTGACCGATCGGAGTCGCACGTTGTCTGCAAAGGTGACCTGCTTCGCGACGTCGGGCGTATCACAGATGAGCGTGTCGCTGAACACGAATTCCATCGCTTTGGAGACGTTGCTGGGGTATTGCACAAGTGACAGTGCCGTCTTGACTTGCGAGCCGCCGATCTGTTGTGCTGCGCTCCATTTCTGTCCCTAGTCAGACTATATAGAATATCGGAGAGCCAGGAAACCGTACCCCGGGTGCTATCGTCCGCGCTTGAATCTTGGTGAGCGGGATGACGTTGATTCGTTTCTGCAGTCGACTGCCGACCAGAGCTTTGCCGACATGCTCGTCGTCGACGATGATGCTGTACAGTTTATTCCCCGAGGCCACTTCTAAGGCCTGCGCAGCGGGATAGTTTTCTTCGATGAGCTTCAGCAGGAGAGCCACACGACCTTTGACTTTTCGTCGGTCAAACTGTGGCCCGAGATCGTACTGGAAGTCGAGACTAGCTAACCCCTGTTGGATACGTTCTTTGTTCTGTTTCAAACATGTAAGTAGGCCGTTCAATGAGAAGAACCCGATAGCGCACAGATTCTAGGGTTCGCACTTGTCCCCTGATCTCCTTCAGTCTAGTTTCGCTCTCGCTCTCTTTCTCTGCGTCCCAAGCGCACTGAGCTATCTTCTGCCGACAGCTTTGTACCGTCGACCGCATAGCTTCAAGCCGGCGCTGAGCATCACCTGCCTCCCGCTCCAAAGCTTTGTATCGCGTTTCCAGCCCTTTCAGCTCGGTAAGGCTCATGTCTAGCTTCACACGATTCTGCTTTTGCTCTGCTTCGGCCTGCGTCACCTGCTGCCGGGCGGCAGCGAGCTGGCCCATGTAGCCACCCCCGCCAACTGCCTTGTCCTTGTTCGAGAGCCCTGTCAACAGACTTTGGAGCAGCTCTTCCGAGTTGGTGAGCTTGCCCTCCATCTCGTCGTGCGTAGCCTTGACCTTGGCGTACTTGGCGCTCACGGCTGCAGCTTCAGCCTTCTTGGCTTCAACGGCATTTCCGAGCTGAAATGAAGTCAAAATGTGCTGTGCGAGGGTAGACGGGATGGACAGGCCTCTACGAGTTCATCCTCAAGAGTCTTCACGCGTTTTCCTTCCTCCTGAATCGATGACTTCTTGATTTCCACCTGCGTCCCAAACTTGACGAGTTCCTTGTCCAAGGCAGCGGCAGATTCTTCCAGCTTGCCTAACTTGCCTCCCTTCTTCTGTTCTTTGTTTCGCTGCTCTTCGACTGCTGCCTTCTGTTTCTCCGCATCGTCACACTCCTCCTGCAGCCCATCCTTCTTTCCTTCCTGCACCTTCGAGTCTCCCTCGTGTTTCGAGATGTCCTTCTGTCGCTGCTTCACTTGCTTCCGGGCGTCCTGCCATTCCCAGGCCCTCAGCTGCCGCTCCTTGTTCTGCAGCTCCGACTCGGCCTTTTGGAACTCGAGTAGCTTCTTCTTCTCTTTCCGGAGTTTGTCGAGCTTGGGCGTGATCTCCTCCTGGAGCAGGGTCTCGATCTCCTGCACTTTCTTCTCCTTCTTCGCCATCGTCTTGATCGCCTTGTCTTTGCGGTCCTCGAACATACGCGTGCCGGCCGCTTCTTCGACCATCCCCAGGATCTCTTGGGGCCGCATATTCAGGACCTGTAACCGTGCGCGTCCGTTAGTCTCTGCCGCTAGAAATACGGGGATGAGCAACCTTGGTGATCTTGCCCTGCATAATGACGAAGTTCGGGTTGTTGATATTGAGTTGCACGGACTGGAAGAGCGATTGAACCGCCTGTTGGGTGACTTTGTGTCCGTTCAGCAGGTACTTCGACGTGTTCGGGAGCGACAGCTGGAGTGGCGTCGATGGGCAGTCAATACCAAGTCACAGCGGTACGTGCGAGGACACGCACCTGACGCGTCACTGTGATCTGCTTGTACGACTCATACCCCGAGGGACTCTTGCTAACGTCCTTGTTGTCGAAAACGATGGTGACGCTGGCTTTAGTGACGCCAGCCTGCCCGCGCTTGTAGATGAGCTCGGCCTGGTTCGACGCGCGCATCTAGAGCCCGTTGAAGATCCCACGCCCTTTATCTCAGCAATAAAACGCACCGTAGCCATATTCGTGAGCCCCAAGACGAAACTAATCGCGTCGAGGATGTTGGACTTCCCCGTTCCGTTGAGGCCTGTAATCGCGTTGAACGATTCGTCCCATCCCGTGATTTGCGTCCGGACGGGATAGGACTTGAACCCTGGGACGCATCAGGTCGGCATCTAGGCTCAATGGGCGCGCACCCACCTTCGAGGACGAGCTCCTCGATCCTCATGATGTCGTTTGGGAAAAGTCACGACAACGCGTCGGGTCACGCGATATTGACATGCCGATGGTGCCGGCAGTGGCTCCCGTGACTTTCGAACACGGTCACATGCTTTGCATGTTCGTTCCGCCTCGTCGGAACCCGTTCTCGTCTTCCCTGGCCGTTCCCCGGCGCATTCTCGACGATGGCGACTCTGACATCACAGATGGCCTCGCTTAAGCTCGAAGCCTCTCACACGATACCTGCGCCACCGCTTGCGAAACACAAGAGCGCTAGCCAGCTAGCGTCTCTGAAGCCGGCGAAACCGATACAGGCCTCGGACACGAAACAGCCTACGAAGTCACCCCTTCAAGATGCACTCGATATCGGGCAGTATGACGGGGGACTGGAGCTAGAGAACGAGAAGCGCGGGGAGCTGGTGACTGGAGCTGCCGCAGTCGAACTCGCACTGGATTCGAGCCTTTCCAAGTGGGTCTCACAGTCCTCGCATCCCTAGATACACTAACCGTCTCCTGAAGTATATCTCCCACGCGGGAGTGGTCGCTGCACTCATTCGACATGGGTCGCCCGCTCGGCAAAGGTGCGTCACGCGCACGCACAACCCCGTGCCCATCGCCCCCAGCTGAGTCTCCGCCAAGGAAAATTCGGGCGCGTCTACATGGTCCGGACCAAACAACAACCGCACTACATCCTCGCGCTCAAAACGCTGTACAAATCCGAGCTCGTCGCGCACCACGTCGAGAAGCAGACGCGGCGGGAGATCGAAATCCAGCAGAACCTGCGCCATCCGAACGTCCTGCGCCTCTACGGCTACTTCCACGACGACAAGCGCATATTCCTCATGCTCGAGTTCGCCGCGAAGGGCGAGTTGTACAAGCAGCTCGTCAAGTACGGGAAGTTCTCTGAGAGACGGAGCTCGCGGTACATCGCGCAGATGGCCGATGCGTTGATCTATCTACATGGCAAGCACGTTATCCACCGAGACATCAAGCCAGAGAATCTGCTGCTGGGGATCAACGGCGAGCTGAAGATTGGTGACTTCGGATGGTGCGTGAGCCGAATGGAAAACCCTCCAAGCAGACACTGACCGCATGCTCAGGTCTGTCCATGCACCGGGCCTGCGACGCACGACGCTTTGCGGGACAACAGACTATTTGCCTCCGGAGATGCTTGAAAAGAAGCCGCACAACGAGAAGGTCGATCACTGGGCGTTAGGGGTGCTGGCGTACGAATTTTTGACGGGGGCTCCTCCGTTCGAGGACAGGAAGAGTGTGGACAGTGCGTGCTTGTCCACTTTCTGTTTCTTGTAGGACTTGAACTCTGACGTTGTCCCAGACACGTACCGGCGCATCGTGAAAGTCGATCTCAAGTTCCCAGTGAACATGCCTCCCGACGCGCAGGATCTGATCTCCCAAGTGAGTCCTGCTCTGCGGACTGTTCATCCTGACTCAAGAGCATGAATCTGGCAGCTGTTGCGCCACGACCCCCAGGATCGACTGCCGTTGAGTGATGTGCTGAAGCACCCGTGGATCGTCAAATGGCAGCCTCGAAAGGCTTGACAGACGGAGGGTTATCTATATCTGTTGTAGTATATATGTATATGCACTTATGTAGCCTGTAACAGGTAATCGAGAGACGGAGATGTAAAAGAGAGTTATGTATGTATGATATGATACAAGGAGCGTGCGGGTATGTGCGTATTAGTGCTATAATATAACGCGGCTGTTGGTCTGATCTTTTCAAGGCGACCGCTTGCGCTTGCCCAGCTTCGTGCTGCTGGACCCACAAGCATTGCTGTTCCCGGAGCCAGTGCTCGCAGTCGACCCGTCGCCAGAGCCGTTCTTGGGCGCCTTGGGTGTGCTCTTGCCGCCGGTCGAGGTGCTGCCATCGGCAGCCGGCGCAGGCTTGTTGACCGCAGCGTCGTTGGCTTTCAGCTTGCCTAGAGTTTTCGCGGACCGCGCTGTGTTGGCGTCGGCAGCCGCCTTGTACGTCGATCTCTTCGTCCCATCCGCATTGGGCGCATCTGAGACCTAGTGAGGACAAATTGCAGAGGTCTGGGACTCCACTGACAGATCTTTTTGAACGCAGCTTTCTGCGAGTCGCTGCCCGAAGCCTCCACGGTCGCACGCCAAGTGTGCAGAAGCGTATCAATGTTGTCACCCGTGGTTGCTCGCTCGGTCTTGAACCGTTGAATGTGGTCGTCTGCAGTGGCCGTCAACGGAAAGTAGCCGCTTTGGGGTGATAGCTCAACGTACCAGCAACACTGTACATGAGCTTGCGTCCCGCGTCAGTGTACTTTTTCTGCCAGCAATGTCAGACACCGAACATCAAACAATCCAATTCGAGGACGGCACTCACGTAAGCAGACTTCAGCGCTTTCTCGTCACCAAACGACTGCAGCAACGCGGACTTGACCGAGTTCGGGTTAAAGTTGGCGCCCTTGTCAACATCTCCCCAGAGACCACAGAAGTCTTTGATACGGTCAGACAGAGGAAGACACGACATAACAACACACGCACTGGACTTGTCGTTGAGGACCTTGGTGATCGCGCTCGTACTAGTGTCGAAGATACTCAGCTTGCAGAGATCCGCCTTTTCGGCCTTTGACAAGGCGCCAAGCGTCTTGGTGAACTCATTGGCTGCCAGTCAAAGTCAGCAGACGATAGCAAACAGCGAGGTGCCCCCACTTACGTTCAAACAAGTGATCGCATTGGCTGTTTCGGCTGTGAGCGAGGCAGGAAAACATGGGGCAGGTGCGCACACACCATTTGCCTTCATCGGCCTTCCCGGCATTCGACACACAGGTGTTCCAATCCACAGTCGTCGTCGATGTCGGACTGAGGAATGAGTTCGGGTACTCCATGTTCAGATTCCCCGCTTTGCACAGCGCACGGTAAGTCGTCGAGCTGATCTTCAGGTCGCTGGCGGCCTGGGAAGGGAGATCAGCGATGTAGATGAGACTGATTTGAAACCTTACTTTGACCTGCCACACACAAGCAGCACCCGCACGGCGATCCAGCTGCTCCCAGTGCCTGGCCTCCAGTTCCTGAACATAAGAGTCGTTGGATGCGAACCGAGGAGTCGTATCCGCCAACGAGCGGTTCGCCCAAACAGAACCACTGGAAGTCGAGTTCAAACTGCGCTGCTCATCAAACGCGCGCCGCGCGACAGGCAGCGACGCGAGACTCGTGCCGAAATCGGCCGTGTTGAGCAGGAACGAGCCGAGGTTGGACTCGGCGCACTGCAGCAAGTTGCCCTGGACCCGCTCCGCGGACTGCCCGAACCGGAACCGCCCGAGCAGCGACGAGCTGTCCAGCGCATTCTCGACCTTGGCTACCGCGCCTGCGACATCGGCGTCCGACCCGAGTCGGCCGATCCAGGCTAGCGCGTCGAGCCCCTCCAGGTTCTTCGTGAGCGACGCGATGTCCGCGACGCCCGAGATGGCCGTCGCGAGGTCGAAGCCGCCGGTGACTAGGTCGACGATCTCTCCGACACCGGGGATGAACGCCAGCACGACCATGGCGATCGTCTCGATGAGGCTTTGGATAGAGTGTCGCGTTGCAGCTTCGTAGGCAGCTGACAGGGGCCGACGCGATCAGCCACAGGGAGAGTCAGCCAGCATGGGACGCACCTTGTTCCTGTTCATCCAGCCGCGTCTGGTTGATGTACGAAAGGGTGTTGCTGATCGTCTGGTTTCCGACAGAGATGGCCGTCAGTGTCATTTGGAGCAGAGACATCAGTTGGATGGGCTCCGTCATTGGCTCAAGTGCATAGTTGCTCAACGTGTTGACCGAGTCGGCTGGAGCTACAGTCAGTGCGTTGTCCCAGCAATGTTCTGACACGGCTTGCCTGTGCTTGCAATATATCCGTTGATCGAGTCCTTGGGGTTGGAGAAAAAGGTGTTTGGATCGATGAGATACAGGCCTTGCCAAGTCGTATGGCACGCCGGCAAATTGAGCGGATCGTAGCCAGCCCGTTTCGCAAGTTGATTGTAGTGGGACCCCGTCGAATTGGAAACAGTCGCGTTGTACAGCTCGCCTTCTTCTCTGGTACAACTCGGGTGACAGACCGGATTGCCGCCGCCGCCGCACGAAGCCTCTGTACAGCGGATGAGAAACCAATCATCAAAACCGCAAGACGGGGTACGAACGATCTCGAGAAACATCAAAGGAGCCACCGGAGACAAGATTATCGAGATTGAGCCCCAACGAGTTGCTCAAGTACGTCTTGAAGCCGTTGGGATCTTTGAGAGTCCAGACAACGGTGGAAAGGGTGGTGATGTGCGGTGACGGATTGGCCGGTGTCTCGTTCAAGTCAATGAACCCAGGACAGCGAATGCTCACGCCCAGTCCAGACCTATGCAAACATGCATATGAGCTTGGGAGCGATGGAGGGCAGTCGTTCGTTTACTCACGCGCACGACCAATATTGGTTCCCACCACCGGTAGCCGACGCAATCTGCCCCACCGATGAGAACCACAAGGAATCCAGTAATTCAACGCTCGTACCTCAAAGTTGATCGCCTTTCCAGTCCATTTCTTGTATATGGCAAAGTTGTCCGTCGACAACTCCGGCGCCGAGAGATACGAGGCGAGGTGGTTGCTGATCTGTGTCTGGAGAGCCAAAGCGCCGAGAAGCAGGGTGCGATAGCTGTCAGCAGCAGTCAGGAAGGGATACTGAGAGACCAAGTTCGATGCAAAGGTATCCTATCGCAGCAATCAGCAATCGTGCCATGCCATGCTGAAGAGTTGAGAGATCGCACGTAAGCACCGGAGCTCAAGTATCCATTACCGTCAATGGAATTCGGAACGCCGATTGCTGTAGAGGTTTAGTCACGAGCTTCCTGAAGCGGAGAATACGTACAAGAAACGACTACATCTGCTGTAGGCAGATATCCACCAAGCGCAAAGATACCGTTGGCCAGATCCGAGTCGATGCTGTCCTGATCAATACTGAAGGCTAAGCGCGTACAGTATCAGAGCAAGCGCAACGGAAGGGACGCGTGGAAGCGTACCAGAGACACCGCCCATGCAGAGACCATTTGCTTGCGACGCTCGGGTAGCCACCGAATAGGTCGTCTCGCCAAACATGAAAGAACCATCGCTAAGATAGAGAGACTGGAGGTAGACGTCCGGGCTCGTCGCGTGAACAGACCAGCTAAGGCGACGAGATTAGTGTTTGCCGAAGCATGACAAAACCAAGATCGTACGCGTTGGAGTCGTAGACATAGTCATTGACCAGAGCATCAAAGGCGTAGTACGGATAGGTCCCCTGCCCAAGATCGTTGGCTGATAGGCAAGAACTCTGCAGGAGCGATGAAGTCGTGGGTCTGTCAAATTAGGGTCAGTTGATGTGACGCTTGGGCAAGATGAGAAAACGCTTGGACAAGATGAGAACTGACCGTGAGAAGAAGGGGATCCCAAAGAGGAACAAGCTGGACGGGATCTTCGAGTTGGCCGCCATTGCTGTCTTCATGTTCTGCGGGATGGTATTCATGTCGTTGGGATCATTGTTGTTGTTAGCAGCGTAGGTCGTGATCAGCGAGATGAAGTCCACTAGAGCGATGTGAGGAAAGGTGTACCAAGCAGCAAACTGCACAAACCGTGAGAAGCGATCGAGCCCAGGGAAGGTCCCAGTCCGCTCAGAGCGAAGAAACCGTTGGGCAAGTGCACCGAGACTATCAGATTTCCAACAGAAGCCTTGGTAAACGCGACCAAGTTCGCAAATTGGTCGGCAGAGACACACAGGCCGTTACACATCGGCCACTCAATATCGACTCCGTCCGCAGAGATTCTACTCGATGATCAGCACACAGATGGTGATTGGTTCGAAGTGGGACTGACGACTTGGCAAGCGCAGCAACGTTGCTCGCGAATATCTGCTGCGTACCCGAGTTCTGAGCCATCGAGAGGAACCCAGACGGGTCGGCGCCGAATCCGAATCCACCGACTGCACGAGACATCAGCGATGCGAAAGTAGACTGGAGCGACAGTGCGTACTTCCGATCATGATCTTGATATTTGGTTCCAGCTTCTTCATGTTCCGCGCGGTGCTGAAACCCGCCGTCTGGTCTGCAGTACTGGTCACCGACCCATCCGGTCCGACAGCGAAGAAACCGTAGATGATATGCTGGAAAGTACAGTTAAGCAAGAAAACGAGCACACCCAGATAGATCAGTACCGTGAAAGTCGACGAGTCGCTGGCATCAGGAGCCCAAGGCAAGCACCCGCGCTTGGCAGCACTTTGCACGTAAATGAGCTCCGGATGAGATCGGAGCACGCAGGACATACGTTCCGATGTAATACCCGACAATCTTGCGAGGCGACGTGCAGTCTTGGGCGGGAATAGTCCCTGTCGGTGCCGAAGGTGCGGATCCATGATTACAGGCACCAGAAGGACTGCGCCCAATTCAGCCGGCGCGGGCCGTCATCTGAGAAGAGCAGACGCACCAATACCCGTAAGGACATGACCAAGAACAAAGTCCTCCATCTGTGACGCCCGGCGCAGCCATGCCAACCGCAGATGCTGTGTAGGCTGGAAGAACAGGCTGAGTGCCCGTGCTATCGCAGTTGCATACATGCATCGGACACATGCCAAACGCGCAGGCGAAGCTGCACAGACCGCCGAGATTGGGATCCGATTTCGCACTGCCCTTGGTGCACACATTCGGATTGAAAGGCGAAGAAGTCGGCGTCGTCAACGGGTGTTGTGCAGTGTCACATGCCGGACTGGGGCAGTAACTGCAACAGCACAGTCAGAAGAAAGGCTGCGCGAACAAAACTACACGCACCCGTAAGTGCAGTCATTGGCGCAAAGACCTGCATAGCTAGCATCCTTTCCGGGGCCCGGATAGCCCAAGGTGGGCGAGGGCTTCGGTTTCGGAGGCGGAATGCCCATTTCGACACAGATACAGGACCCGATTGGGCAGTAACCTGTACATCTGAAATCAGTCGGTGGTCGAAACGAGCATGAAACAACCCACCATAATTGCATCCAAAGCTGCAGAGACCAGCAAAGTCGCCGACCTAGACTTGTCCGTCAGAATTGAGCACGAACATGATGTCCCCGACATACGCTGGTCCCGGCTGTGCAGTTCACATTGTTGTCGTAGATTCCCCAGCTGGGAGCCACATTGACAGTCGGGCCGGTGGCACTCCCGACCCAGGCATTGAAATTGGACACGCCGTTGCGACAGACAGTGGTGATCGACTGAGATCCGACGTACATCCCGTTGACGGTCACCTCCACAGTCCCGAGGTAGCTGCCGTATGCGGCACTGCCGCGGTAGATGCCGACTCCGCCTTGGGGCTTTCTGTCCCACTGCGCTTGGAGAACGTTGCCGCCGACGGAAACCTTCGGTGCTACCTCGGCAGAGAGGAGCGCAGCAAAGTAGATGCGGTCCTGGACGATCTGAGAAGGTGGGTACTCGATTTGGAGTTGGTTCGCGACATTCCCGGTTGTGCCTCCGTCGCCGCAAGCAGCGGCCGGCGTCAATCGGAACCAAACGCTTAGCAGCTCCTGTTGGATTGTGGCTTTCCCAGTTTTGTAGGTTTGGATCAAATACCTGCCGGGCATTGAGTATATGTATCGTTTCTGGAAGCATCAGAGAAATCACGGGAGGAAGATAGTCCAGCCAGTGTGTGGCATTCCGTCGGCATAGTTGTACGTAGCTTTTCCGATGGTGAATGCGTCAAAAGATTCAGAGTGCAGCGGGCCTGATCAAAGTGGTCAGCCGTATCACAGGAAGAAAGAAACGACTCACCGATATAGTGAGACTCGCCATAATCATTCCATGAAATGATCTCCACAAAGTCCGGCCGAGTGTAGAAGACTTGTTCCCAGCGATCGAACCACAGGGTGTCGCCATTCCAAAGCCAGTTCTTGTTGTATCCGGGCAGATTGGTGTAGAACCAAGGCGACACTACGCATTCTGTCAGTATTAGTGTCAGCGTACAAGATATTGACATACCAGGCATCATGTAGTTCTTTGCAACAGGCCGATTACCCATGTCCGCGCCCATGAACTGACAATGGACGATGAGTCGAGAACACGTGGAACCTATCAAGAGCTCACCAAGAGGTACGACGCGTCCGGGAAAGTGTCCATCGATCTGGGTCCGACTGGCCATGCAGCCCAACTGAAGAGACCGTCTGCCTGATTCCCGCACTCAGTTTTGTTGGGGACGCGTCGAAAAGAAGCAGCAAACCTGTCCGTACGACCAAGCCTCCTTCGCGCTGACAGACGACCAATCAGGGATCTACAACGCGATCAGCAGGGACGGAACAAGACAGAAAAACGCGCATACAAAGTAACATCCCGTGACTGCCTTGATATGCACCCAGTCGGCGTGGTTAGCGGCGCCCGCGAAGGTGGATACGAATGGTTTGCCGTTGAGCTTGTAATAAGCCACGTTTCCCATCCAGGGAGTCAGCGTATCGAGCACAGTCTGCTGCGGCCACGGCCCATTGCCGCCATAGTCGAAGGAGAAGAAGATCTTGAAGCCAGTGATCGCACCCGCAGCCAACGCATTCCCGATCTGGCTGTTGGCGGGGTCGCCGACGGCCATATTGATAGCAAACGCGTCGATCGACATTGCCTGGGCGGCGCGCATGTCGCTAGCCCAGTCGGGAACACCCCATGACGCCGTGTTGGTGATCTAGAAGTCATTGAGCCCGGGAGCCAGACGGCAGAATGTGGTAGCTAAACGGACCATGAAGTGAGCGAATACAGCGTATGCATCGACTGCTTTCAGCGGCGCGAGCAGCATCGCTGCTGCAAGCGCAAGGAACCGCATCTTCCTTCGAGGAGCGCGGGGCGTTCTGTTGTTGCGTCCTCTCGCATCGGCCTCTCCTTATATCCAGTATTTGCCGCAGGTCAGGACCTCGAGTCCATGTGATTCGAGGCGACGCAAAACCGAGATAAAGCCAAGACGGAATGCCAAGGTAGCATAAATGCAGCCGTGGGAGCGTGCCTGGTCTACTAGGCACGAAGAATTGGGCGCGGAGACGAGATGCGTCGGGAAAGAGATGATCAATTAGGTAATCTCCATCATTTGATGCGCCTGATCCATCTATTGCCAATGGCTCGTCAGTAACAGCCTTTGCCTGCCTTTGCAAAGTCTATTGATCACACACCGATTAAAAAACCGCTTGGATGTCTGCAATATCGAAAATGGGGACGAGGTACGTATACTACAGAGCAGTAGTGACTTGTATTCCAATCCCAATCCCAATCCCACGGCCAAAACCACTATTTTCAAATCTGCGTCCGGTCGCGACTCGTCGGCCGAAGCAAATTCAGCTCATGATATGTTCGAGCGCATGGGCTCTGAAACCAATCAAATGGTTGCGTTGCTGCTAAACGATGTCGCTTCGAGGATCTGCGAAGGCCCCGGGATCGGCAGCTCGGACTGCTGAGTTCAATCCGCACTTCTCGAATACCGCAGCACTGGTCCTTGCCGCGCGTCTGGATGTGTGTCGTGGAGCAGCTTGATCGACATCCAAGTAATCCCTGCTGTGGATAATCGTTTTGGCTTACCACCTTGCAGCGAACAGTAGGTAAATGCGGGGTAAGAATGAAACGGGCCGCTTAGCGGCCCACATGGGACCGACCATTTACGGCCACGATCGACCGGAGGAGAAAATCGTCCCTGATGGCCAGTTCTCGGTCTAAGCGCAGTCTCGTCCCCAGGCCCGTGTTTCACGGAGTCTTTGCTCAGCTCAGGAGCAAAGTTGTACACCGAATGCAAGCGAGGACTGCCGTCTACGGACGGATCTAGGCTCTGGGTATGTATGTGAAGAGGCTGAGCTCATCATCGATATTCAAAATACGGGATCTGATACATACAGCAACGGTGGTTGCAAAATCAAGGAAGGGCGGCATGCCAGTCGTGACTGGACGGCTCGTGCCGTCGTATCGGATGCCGCAGAACATCGTCCGCCCCCAACCCATGATGCGAATCAACAGAGCTCCCCAGCAGGTCATCTCGGGAAGCGCTGCTTGGGTCCTGTAGCAATCGTCTGGTCGAGGCGCTTCGCGCCGGTGCATTCTGAAGCTGCTGGCGCATCGTCGCCGTGGAGCTCGAAGTTTGAGTCATAGAAGGGGGGCCCGAGCCCCAGCGCGTCGCAAGTTGCAGTTGCTAAGTACACAGATAGGAAAACTTGATAAAGATGGCAGATAAGATAACGGACCTTGAAGAACGGCCGCCCTGGATTTCGGGGCGTTGAGCCCGCATCTGCGACCAGGGTGGAAGCGGTTGCAGTCGAGTTCACGGTGTCCCGGCGGACGGGCGGAGACTCGAAGGACTCGTCGTCGTCCACCGGCACGTACGTTGCTCGCTTCGCCGCGCGTCGAGGTCCCAACGACATTCTCCACGGGGCCACCGATGCATCGAACGGAGAGTGCACGCCTCGTTCCAGAATAACCCAGAGATTCTTGTTCCTCCGGAGAAGGAACTGTGATAGGTTTGTGAGTGGTCAGCTCGATCTTGCCCATGGAATATGCCGCTCACAAAGACAGCTGCAACAAGAAGCACAAAGAGAGCTGCTGCTACTACGATGACGGCAACTGCCGATGCACTAAACATGTTGAGTGCCGCGAAAAATGAAAGGCCGATCCACTTACTCCAACTTTTGTTGGGGTGGAGGGGGGTTCGTGGGAATGATTGGCATTCCCGTCTGACTCGGTTGCGGTAATGAACTTGACGAGCTGGAATAACCGGTCAGCTTGAGCATGGATGCACCACAGTCAGCTACAAACACTTGAAGCGGCGAGAGCAGCGACGAGGAGCTATGGACAGTGGCGTAATCCATCTCGAACATGCCCGGTTCATCAGTCACTAGTGTCACCGTGTGATTTCCCTCGCCAAACCCACTCCCGAAATACAACAGGACCTGCGCAGAGTACAGGTCTTTCGTGGCAGAATAACTTAGTGTTGGCCTGTTTTCTCTCAGGACAGTATCGGGCATGGTTGGGTCCAGTGGTGCCGTAGATGGACACTGCATCACCTGTCAAGATGTTGGCGTCATGCCACTTTCCGAGCATAACATCGTTTCATCACCCTGAGAAGCCGGTTTCATATAGGCAGCACAAATGGAAAATGATCGCGCACTGAGAACGTAAAATTGACGGAGGCATTGGCCAGGTTTATCGAACTGCATCCCCCACAAGTCAAATGGAAGCCAAAGACATGCAAGACTGACGCACTGTCCCGTGGCATACTTGAAGCTCGGCAGATTAGGTGAAGAGACATCCCAGGCACCGTGCGGTAGGTACGTGAACGCAGAACTGGTGTCATCGACCGTCGTAGTGGACAATTCCGAAGTCTCGTCGCCGTGATGTTTGATACTGCATGAATAGGTGATCTGAGATGCGTCAGGTAAAGGACCGCGACGCAGAGACCCCAACGTACGGAGTCGATGTCCAACGTGTCCCAACTGTCGTTGATGATCTCTAAAGTATGCTGCCCCGGAACCAGGACCCCCGAGTCGTAGATCGTGGTAGAAAACGACTGGAAGCCGGATGTTGTCTGCGCAGAGAGCAAGTCGGGCTTCCCGTCCAAGTTCACGGTGAAATTGGACCCAAACGTGCTCCGCGAGCCATTGACTAGCACTTTCGTCCCCTCGAAGGTGAGCTGCACCGAGTCATTCTGCCAGGTGGTCATCGTATAGCTCGCACCATATGCACTGCAAGGACCTTGCTGGTGAGCTACGGACGATGAAGATAGCAGGACATCACCCACTCGCTGGACTGGTTCTGTGACCAGTGACCCCCATTGTACGTGAGAAGAGGACTTGTGTCGTCGATCACAACGTCGTAGGACTGGGCTCGTGGTGAATGCCCAGTTGGCTGTGCGCTCATATCGGAAACGAAAGGAATGTCGGTTGCTGAACGAAAACGAATGGTTCACAGGCGAGAGTGGACCCCCAGGGCCAGAGAGAAAGTCGAATGGACGGGACGGACGAGGGAAGGAAAGAAGGACGGTCAGAGCAGGGTGGAGATACAGATGCTCATCAGTCAAGTCAATGAAGCCACAGCCCAAAGATGCTTCCTTGATCGGTTAGATCACCCTTCGTGTCTGACAGGTTTCACAGTCCAGTGTGGTGCATCAGCCGTGGGATGAGAAGCAGTCCGAGCCAAGATCAAAATGATAGAGATGCGAAAGGAATGGAGACCAAGAGACATCGTTCGTAGGGTAACAGACACACAAATGCATGCAGATCGGAGTTGTCAGGACGAGGCGCGAGAGCGTTATGTACGAAGCAGGGTGAGCCACTAAGTGGCTGTCATAAGGAGCGCACGATCTGATCGTACAATGCCACAATGCGCCAGAACATCCGCTACCAGCTCTCTTTGTTAGGAGATGCAGGTGGATTCGTCCACGTCAGAATCTGATCAACCATGCGGAGAGAGTGAGTACTTGAGCATAGGCTCTGGGGTCGCGGGCTGGTATCAACAAACGAGAACAGTTGCTGACTCAGCAGCTTCCAGCATAGCCACTTCGGAAGGCGAAAGTGCTTGGATCAGAGTGAAAAGATATATCATTCGTGGTCTGACGGTGAGTATCCAGTCAAGACGGGCATCGAGAGTCGAGGTGACTGTAGCAAACGGGTCGTTACTTTTGCTCAAACTCTTCCTCCGCTTTTCTCACTTCGCGTATGCAGATTACGTGTGCGGTTGATTTTTTCGGCAGCGCTTCATGAATCACAGAGCTCCAGGAACATCGACTGATTCATCTCGGCAATTCCTATGTTGGACAATCTGCACCACTCAGCCACTTTTTTCGCCACAGGAAACGGCAAAAGTGTCTCGTAGGAGAATTGCTTTATCTGATGCGCTCCCAGGTGACTCTCCAATTTTTTTTGTACGGTTAGTTCTGAGTAACTTCTGCGGCGCTGACCGCTGCTGACCGTCGCTGCCGTGAAATCCGAGGCAAACTTCCTAATTCAGTAGCGAGGCGTTGTTTACCGATGTCATGCGCATCATCTGACCCCGCTTCACCCCACACCTTCCTGGCCAATCCATGTTGTTCTCGCGTGGTCCAAGACCAAGTCTAGAGAGCGTCTAGAGGAATTGACCACTTTCCCGCGAAGAACGTTGCTAGTGTACGTACACTCTCTGTCACGATTCCACCTGCCATCGAATTGATCTATCCAATTCAAGCTCAGCCCACTCTTTTCTTCCACCTTCTCCACCATGACCACGATGACTTCCCGTAGGCTCTCTGCACGTCGAGGATCGACCTCAGCGTCTGATCCGCACGCGAAATACGCTCATCTACTGCGAGAATCGTCCAGCATCCTGACGATCGTGCGCGTCACTTCCCCGCCGGCCATCCCACCTCCTTCGGCGTCTGCAGGTCCCACAGATCCCCCACCGTCCCCCCGGCGCGCTCACAGGCGTCTCGGAAGCAACCCCAATCCCTCCCCTGCTATCTCAGGGTCGCCCGACGCCCCAGGCCGTTTGAGCTTTGCGTTTTCCTCATTCGGTGCACCCCATCAGCAAGCCAACTCCGGAGGCGGTGGGGGCGGGTCACCTCGTCTGCGTCCCTCTTCGCCTCACCGGTCGTCCCCCTCCGCTTCGTTTTCCAACCTTACACGTCTATCGCCCGAACAGCTGCTCGACGTCGCGAAACAGGCTACGAATCCTCGCCTCCCATCATCGCCGTCATCAACGTCGTCATTGGTGTCGCACTCCCCCATTCTCCACGCGCGCCCGCAATCTCCGCAGGCGCTCCCCCCTGCCTCCGTAGCTCCAACGACGTTCACTCAGCTGCCGCCCGGAGTGTATCTCCCGTTCCTGGATCGCCCCACCGAGGTCTCTGCGCTATTGGCGTCCCCGCCCTCCGCCAAATTGTTCGTCCTCCTCGCTCAGACCTTCACCAAGTCTCCCAAACAGACTCGCAAGAACGATCAGCTTCCCGTCGATACCGCCGATTGGTCGTTCGATGATCTGGCGTATTGGTTGACGAAGACGACCCGCGAGGAAGCCTCCGACGCGTTTTGGGTCCAGTCGGCCCGGAGATGCATTTTGCAGCACTCAGAGCTCATATGGGAGCGACTGAAAGGCGCGTTGGGCGTCCCACCCGAGCTCGATGTCGAGTTCTCTCAGACGCAGTACGAAGAAGATGTATTCGAAGATGATGATTCAGAGGAGGCGGATTTGACCTCTGGAGAGTCTGCCAAAAGGTCTGTGACCGTTGCAACTAGGATCATCTAGTCTCACATTTCCGCAGCTCTGCTGGCTCGTCTCCCATCACATTCCGGATCCCAACCAAGTCATCCGTCGTGCCGCAAATGTCGGAGATCGAAGATATGGGATATTTTGCGCTTTCTCCCATCCATAACGAGGACGCGAATGGCATCTTTATCGAACCAGTATTTGCCTGTCCCGATATTTCCACCTCCCATCCTCCTCCGATGTCGCTTCCGGCCTCTCTCTCCAGCGAAGCGAATGGATTGGGAGACATTGGCGAAGAGGACGAAGAACAAGACTCGATGGCAACTCCGAGCAACCTCACCCCCGAGGTCATTGAGGCACCTCCGATCCAGGGCCTGCGGATTTCTACATCCGACGCCACGATTACTCAATCATCGCCACTGATCCAGTCAAGCACGACAGGACTGCCCCTGCGGTCGCCCTCTTTTTCGGCTCGCCGAAGCCACTCGCCTACGCTCTGGCGTTCTGGATCCATGGGGGGCGGTACTGGAGGGATCAAGCGGTCCGGGTCTTTCGGAAGCGTGCACTCCATCTCCTCGGACCGTCCGTACGACCCGGTCGCGGATCGCGTGCCTGGTAATCCTATCTTCCCCACGAACTTTGCCTCTCTTGCTGTTGGACCGACGTTGGCTGCAAAGTGAGTGATAGAAGCTATCAAGTACACCCTGTGGTTCTCATCGCTTCTTCACAGTAACCCGGCTCTGAGATCCCCACCTATGCCACCGCAGTCCAAGTTCAGCGTTGGGATGCTGCGCCGATCTTCCACCAAGTCCATGGATCGAGGTAACAGATTCCGTCGCAGCTGGGGCAACGCGGATGATTATGCGGTGACTGTTGCCAGTGGCAGCAGTGCCGGTGGCAGCGTCAGAGATGACGCTTGAAATATGGTTAGTCTGATTTTGGGTTGTATCAGCTGTTGGTCAGGGTGTTGTAGAAGTTGTGTTTGTAGCTCTCCTTGTAGACACACTCAGGGTTCTGTTACTTGGCTGTAGTACATCTGAGTCGGAAGGTTTGCACGTGAACTCGTGTAGCGTGCACGTGATCGCGTAGTCGACGTGCATGCAGTATCATACTATTGATCACACATTCATGGTCAAAGCCTTGAAATGTCCCATATGTCCGTCCACGTCCAGATTCTCGACGCTTCAAGAGTAGGCCTCAGTAGCAGCCGCGCTCATTTCCTCTAACACAGCCTGGGTATTCGCCAATGTCTCCGCTGCAATGGCGTGGAACATCAACTAAATCATCGATGAGCTTCTGTCCCACTGATGAATCGACTGGCTTACCTGTGCTTTCGCGAGTTCGTTCAGTTGCTTGATGGGCTCAGGCTCATCTAAAGTCAACGCAAGTAATGTCGGATTCGGGTAGCTACGCACATTTTGCAGCACTTTCTGCATCAGTTGGATCGCAACCTCGGTCTTCTGGACGAGATCATCTTCAGCATTCTCGACTTCCAAGCGAGCCTGTTCTTGTCTCGACGGGTTCGCGTTCTTAAGGCTGGAGACGCATACAATGAGCATTGCTGTCGGCTTGAAACACTGCAGGACGCTCACGTCTGCTTGGCGCCATCGAGCTCCAATCGACTGGTTCGGACAGCCTGCCGGGCTTTCAGCGCCACCGCAATCGAGGTCGTCAGGCTTTGCTGCCAAGGGTGCAGGTAGTTTAACCGAATAGCTTGGTCCTATTGAAGACGTCATGGACGATGGGGGGACACGACACGATGCGGGACCTGCCTGATCAACGCGGGCCGCAGCGACTTTATCCATCCCATCCGCATATGTTTCGAGCGCAGATGACAGCGCGGTGTCCTGCTGACCAGGGCTGGCCGTTAACACGATACCCGCAGCGGACCGACTGGCCCGCGTCAGCGCGTGTGGAAGCGTTTTGTGCATCGGGGCCGGGGGTGGTGCGAGCGGAACGAGCGCCGGCTGTTCTGGGGTAGATGCCGGTGTAGCTGGTTTGCCGCGCAGAGCGGAGATGCCCTGTCCGAAGGAGGTCGAAAGCTCGGCAAGGGATTCCTGAATTTGGGACGGGTAGTCGTAACTTTCGGATTCGTATATCTTCGTTATCCTGATTACATGAGATATTGAAGAGCACACAACGGGGGCGGGACGCACTTGAGGAATGCCATGTGCGCAGCTTTGAGAGCATCGACTTGGGCCTCCAGGTCCTTGTACTCTTGTGGTAGTTCCGTGATTTCATCCGGGGCAACCCGTCCAAGACGTTCTTTGGTCGCTTGAACGCTGGTTTGGAAGCCCTTGTTCAGGTTGTTCGAAAGACTACGCCAATCCATGGAAGTGAGTGAAGAAAAGCGTACGTGCCATGTTCGAGGCGTGCCGCATCACTGATCGGCGTACTCGGCCGTGTCCAGGAGTCACACTTGCTCTCTTCAACCACCACTATTGAGAATGAAGTCCTACGATTTCTGCGTCCATGCCGTCTCGTTGGAGGGAAAATCACAGTCTCTTGATTCTTTCAGGCCATCTGCCATCGGCTAGGACCTGTCCAGGGCAGGGACAATCAATACCTGGTATGAATCTGTCAATTTACACGCAGCATAACTCGCGTACTTATAAGACGAAGCACTTGAATGGACTGAAAAACCTCCACTTTTTCTTCCCCTCGTCCCCTGCCTATCATGGCTATGCTCTTAGCGCCTTACAACGACGCGATGCGCCTTGGAATGGGGTTCGTTTCCTCCTGTGCACGCTCTTATACTTGAGCGGGCGCTGAGTTGCCCCGCAGGTTCAACTCGTTCACCCAGCAGCTCTGCATCAACGATGCGGTTAGACTGGAGGGTGGTGGGCGCACACCCGCGGTGAGTAACGCGTCCTGTTCTCTAACGCTTTCCGTTTTCACACCGTGGCCAGACCGAGCGGAATCTGCGTCCCCAATACAAGTTTGGGCAGATGACCGGAGTCGACGGAGGGAATGTGGATATCAGCCAAGACGTTACTTGGACTGCCAAATTTGTGGATAGGATTAGCGAGATCACGGACAGTTTGAACGTCAGCGGTGCGTATGGTTTCTACTGAGCCATATCGACACTGACTCAACATCAACAGGCTCCCTTCAGATCAAGTGTGATGCAGTCGGAGGTGGTGGAAAGGCATCAGCCTCGTTCATCGACACGAACAAATTCAAAGAGAGCGACATCAATTACTTTATTCAAGTTCGAGTGACAAACCAACGGCTTACCGCGCCCGACCTTACCGACTTTGACCCTATACAATACCTTCCTGCGTCCGAGTTCAACCGAGTGTATGGAGACTCCTTCATCTCGGGTGCGTCATCTGTTCCATTCTGACCATCCGTTCTCATACTCGCGGACAAGGCTTCACTGAAGGCGGCGAGTTCAATGCGCTCATTTCCATCAAGCTCAAAGATCGCTCTAAAGCGAAGGAGATCAAAGGTGACCTTGAGGTTAACATGAACTTTACGGCCGTCTCGGTGTCCGGGAAAGGTGCCCTGGCCAAGACGGACGCGAGCAAGGAGATGCAGGGCGAAACCACGATCGCTGTGTCCTGGAAAGGTGGAGGAGATATCAAGGATGCCACAGTGATGGACTGGACGCTAGAATCACTGAAGAGCGTGGCGATGGAGTTTCCAGAACACGTCATGGCCTGTCCGATGAGAACAAAGTGTGTACGGTTTGTTTGCTTTGCCAGATTTATGAACTTGGGAATAGCGCCATCCTCACCAAGTACACAAGCCTGAAGAGCTTCTATCAGAAGAGCATCAAAGGCTCGCCGTTGGGTCAGTCTTTCTCACCGAGACACCAGGTGGCTGGCTGATAAATTCGTAGACTATGAGAATGCTGGTGTCTACTCTTCTGCTCTGCTCGATGCTTACATGGACTACAAAGTCATGTGGCGGAATATACAACAAGGTAACTGATGATTCTCACACACATCTGCGCGTAGCCTAATTCCTCGCGCAGCTGCGTGGGAGGTTGAGCAAGGCAATCTACATTGGTTGCCAAGGAGCACGTCGAAGAGTTCAATGAGCTCAAAGGCGAGGCCAAGGCCAACTTCGACGCTCAAATGGTTGTCTACAAGAAGAAAGTAGCCGAGTTTGAGCTGAAACGGGGCTCAAACCTGCTCACCGGGAACCCAGCATGCGTTTCTCCTCCCCCGATTGTTCCACCTGCTGTGCCTGTCGCTACCCCACCAGCTGTCGACAGCACGGGCGCTGTCGCTGTATCTTCGGTCAGTCAACCAGTGCCCCCAGCAGCCCAGCCTTTGTCGCCTCCAGTGGTTCAGCCAACGGCTCCAGTTGCTCAGCCAGCGGCTCCAGTTGTTCCGTATTCGCCCCCGGCCCTGGCAGAACTGGAGGCTGCGGAGCCTCTGCCACCCAACGACCTCACTCCATACAGGGGCAGCCTGTTCGGCTTGGACAAGGCTCGGAGAGACTGCCGCTTCGAGATGATCAAGATCGTGCGAGAAGTAGATGCCGTCGCTGACGATCCAAAAGTCGCTTGTGACCCAATGCGATCTTGGCAGTATCTCAGTCCAGCGGTGTTCAGGATGTTGCTTCCGGTACGTACACTATCACATATGCTTCTGAGGTCTCACCGTGACAAACCCAGACTGTTCGGAACTTTGACCGAGAGCGAGCTGCGGAACAGGCCTCTGAAGCTGCAAAGAAGGCGAAAGCCGAGAAAGAGGCTCATCAGCTGGCCATGGCCACCAACTTGACGGCATCCAAGGACAAAGTCACTTTGCTTGAGGGTCAGAGCAAAGAGCTGCAGAGCACCAAGGAAGAACTCGAAAAACAGCTCGAAGAGCTACAAAAAGCGCACGAAACTCTGAAGAAGACCTATGATGCCTTGAAGCAGGGACTCAAGTGAGTCGAGTATTGCTGCAAAGATAACGGGTCATCTGACTTCGGCCAGCCCTTGGGATGGCTGGGCCCCAGTGACAGTCCGAACATACGTCAGGATACGCAGTATGTGGACCAAGAAGTGTTTGGACTACTTTTATTCGGACGGCAATGGGTCCTTGGAGCTCTTCCAGCACGAAGCCAATACGGGACATAACCAGCGGGTATGGACTGCGGTTGTCTTTCTTCCCATCATTAATTGATACCCTACAGTTCCAAATAAATGCCGTCGGACCTCGTGCCTTCTCGATAAAACACGTCACTTCTGGGCATTTTGTGACGACGGGAAAGAAGGTGTCCTATGGGGTCTATTTCACCATGGGCGAATGTCCGTCGTTCTTCACCTTCGAGGCCATGAATGACAAGGACGGCAAGTGGACTGGAGCATGCATGTGAGCGACCTCGCTATGGCATCCACCGCGTTCTCACTCATTTCCAGGGTGCATATCGCCGAGATGCCGGACCATACATTCAATGTAGAGGGTGGCGCGTCCCACGACGGTGCAAAGATCATCGGCTGGAACGGCAGTCCCAAGTCGGACAATGACAAGTGGTACATCAAAGACTTTGATGACCTGAGCATTTGAGCGCTGGGCTCGCGCTACTATAAATTGTAATTCTCTGGTTCAGGGTCAGTAGAGTACATACTTAATTTCTTTGGTTGATCGAAATTGGAATTCTGAACGACGGGAGTGCATCAGGTGGCTGTGTCGTGTCGTGTACTGTACTGGACTCGACACGTCCTCATCTTTCCCCTCATTTCATTTCCTCCTTCATGGATTTCCTTCATTCACAGCTATCCAAGGTTGAGCACCAGCTCCTATTCGTCAAAACGGACCCCATTGACTGGAAGCTCTACGTCCAAACGATTTCGTGGGCTGTGACGTTATTCGAATCGTATCTCCTGTGCGTTCGTGTCCATCACAATCCCCTTCTTCGTCTCACGCGACACCTCACGTAGAATCCGCCAATACCCGCTGTACTCTAAGACAGAACCCCCGGCCGCACTCGCGAAACATATCAGCGCCTCCGATTTCGAAAAGTCGCAGAAGTATGGCAAGGACAAAGCCAAATTCGCTCTCGTCTCGGGACTGTATAAGCAGGTCCTCGACTCGTTGATGATACAGCTTGGATTCTATGCATGGTGTTGGAGCTCCGCGGGCTCGTTAATGTCGCGGTTCGGGTACGGTTCTGAATATGAGGTAAGTTTTGCCCATTTACTTCCGTCGGAGACTGATCTGCTGCCGCAGATCACTCAGTCCATTGGCTTCGTGTTTCTCCTGCTGCTTGTATCGTCGCTCCCTACTATTCCCTTGTCGGTCTACAGCACCTTCGTGGGTCCCAGGTTCTCCATCAAGTGCTGCTGTCTTTCTCATGCACACGACAGGTTTTGGAGGAAAAGTACGGCTTCAACAAGACTACCCCCGCTCTCTTTGTCACGGACTTGCTCAAGGGATGGGCCATCGGCGGAGTGCTGGCTGCGCCGTTCCTCTGGGCGTTCTTGCGCATCTTCAACTGGGCTGGAGACCGGTTCGTGCCATGGCTCATGGCATTCATGTGAGCCCCATTTTCGCTTCACGACTATGCAGATGGTTGACGTTATGCAAGGCTCTCCTTCCAGATGGTGATGGTCATCGTCTACCCGATGGTGATCCAACCGCTGTTCAACAAACTGTCCCCCCTCGCAGATGGGGAGTTGCGCACTCGCATCGAAGGTTTGGCCAGCAAACTCAAGTTCCCTCTCACCCACTTGTATGAGATCGACGGTTCGAAGCGTAGCTCGCACAGTAACGCGTATTTCTTCGGTCTGCCCTGGGTGCGTCACGTTTTTACTCAAGTTCTTCGTCGCTACAAACGGGGCTAATCCTTCTGATAGAGCAAACACATCGTCATCTTCGACACGCTCATCCAACAAAGTCAGCCTGAGGAAGTGGAGGCCGTGCTTGCACACGAGCTGGGCCACTGGTACTACGTCCACCCTACCAAGATGCTCGCCATCTCGCAGCTGCACATTTTCACCATCTTCGCGCTGTTCCCGGCGTTCCTGCACGCTCCGCCTCTTCTGACATCGTTCGACTTTCCCAAAGGCGTGGCTGCGCAGCCGCCGACCATCGTCGCGTTCCTGCTTTTCCAGGCACGGGCTTCCTCTCCGTCCGTCCTTCCTGATCCCGATTCTGATGGCGCCCACAGATGATCCTGACTCCCCTAGAGGCGTTCGTGTCGATGGGCATGCACGCAGTGAGCCGCCACTTCGAGTACGAAGCCGACCGTTTCGCGTGCGAGCTCAAGCACAAACTCGACGACGAGAAGATGGGCGACATGGGCGACCGTCTCGGCCGCGCTCTCATTGCCATCCACATCAAAAACCTGTCGACGGTCTGGGTAGATTGGCTGTGCGTACACTGTTTCTGTTTCTCGACCGTGCAGGAAATTGAGTTGCCTGACAGTTACTCGGCATACCACCACTCACACCCGACGCTCACTGAGCGCCTGCGGGCTCTGGAATCATTCCAGAGCGGCCCCGAGAAGAAGAAAAACTAATGGCCGAGTCCAAGTGTAGCTACAACCAGTTTGTACTGTACATGGAGTCTTGGAGAAAAGCATTCTCGCTATCTCAGTCTGCGCGTTTGTCGTCGTACAGCCCAGCAGTGCTTCCCACGTCGTGCACGCTCCAGAAGCCGAACAGCTGTCCCACCTTGGCGTAGATATCGGATGCAGTGGCGGTGAGCGAGAGCGCCGTGCGGATGACGGGCGAGAAAGGTGGCACGAGCAAAGCCATGAAATCCTGCAGCCGTCGGATACGAAGATAAGCACACCCCAGTCCGAGCAGACAGACAGACAGACAAGATCACGCACGTCGGGATGGTAGAAATCCTCCTGGAACGCGATGTACCACAGCCCATCGATCTCGCGTAGCGTCAGCCGTACCAGCAGGCGCGACGGGGCGGGCTTGAATGGTGAGAGCCGGACGTGGAAGTACTGCGTCGCGTCGAGCACGAGCACGTTGGTGTCCGCGTTGTGCGCTGGCGGGGACGCATTGCGTTGGGTCAAATCCACACACACGAGTCCCGCTGTGCGCACTCACTGATATCGGACACGGAAATCTCGATCGTGGGTGACAGAATGCGGTACCACCTGGGCGCGCGGCGACGCGTCAGTCAGCGGTCCCGCCCGTGAGTGAGAGGCACCCGCCGCTCACTGGTAGATGCCCAGGACCCTCTCCCGCGAGCGCGGCCCAGGCGTGACATTACAGAGCGGATGCCGGAATCCCGCGTCGGGCGTCATATAGCGCTTGATGGCAGTGGCTTGGATCTCGGGCGACGCAGCAGCGGTGAAGAGGGAGACGACGTTTTTAATCTCGGCGAGGGGGTCTTCCATGGTGGGTGTTCAAACGTGCACGTCGTGGTATTGGTGTTCACTGACTCCGGTCAGTGCTAAAGAAGACGCACAGCGGGGTAATGACATCATGGGCGATGTGCTTACATCATCATTAGTCGTGAACTGATACATTATTGGAGTCTAAATGGCTGTACTAGTACAAGGGACGCGTATTGGATGCTGGATAACGAACGATATGGAGTATTCATGGTGGGTACAGAGTGAGTGATGGCAGTTGGGGTTTAGCGTGCGACGAAAGCAATTTCGAAAGATCCGATCCTGGACGAGATCAGACTGTGGGTGGCGCTGGCATCGCCGCTCTTGGAGGAATGGGATCGATTGTGACACCCTGAAACTGGATCAGAACACAAAATATTTGACCTGATTTGCCTGCGCACCTTTCCTCTGCAAGCTGGACAGTTGTTCTTGCCAGTCTCCAACCACCGATCCACACAACCTTGGTGGAATGCATGTCGACACGAGAGTACCCGGATGTCATCCATTTCCTCATAATCGTCCAGGCAGATTAGGCACTTGAGATGATAGATGAGCTACGAAGAGAAGATGCAGAGATAAGTGTATGCACCTTTTCTATGCAATTATCGATAACGTTCGCGCTCTTCAATCCATCTCTGTGCATCACCGGCAAGCCAGCACGTTCGATGTCTGTCTTCGTTGCCGTGGTCGGTCGCATATGCCCAAGTAGATCGCCCAGTTCTCGGCTACTCACGTTCAGTGCTTGAAAGCCAGGAGAAAGACGCGACAAACATTAATGCCTCGAAAGACTGCACACCGTCTGCCAGAAGACCATGGTCTGGCGGATAATACCCTGCAAACGATGAGTTCCAGAATGGCTGTGTACTGTCGGCAGACTTGCCTCCTATGACGTAGATCAAGAACGTCTGTGATGAGTCGTTCGCGGTCATCGGCGACCGACCCCCCGTTTCAGCCTCGGGCACTGCTTCAGCTGCTGATCCTGCCTGGGGCTCGGACGCCACTTCCGACTCTTGCACCACTTCTGGACCTGGAGCCGCAACAGGCTCAGGCCCAGGCAGGGCCTCGGCCTCCAAGTCAAAATCTCCGGTATCTGTCGTCGGTGTCGACGGCGGTGGCGTAGACAAACGGCCGGTGGAAACAGACTCCCGAGCCCGACGCCACCAGCTGCGTCGCCGTGCCGCCCTTTCCCTGATCGGTCCGAACGGATCAGTAGTCGCTGGTAGCTCCGGCGCCGGCTGCTGTTCTTCTAATTCTGGCACTGGAGGGGGAGCTTGCACGGCCCCGGGAGCACCCCAAACACCAGCCGCAGCAGAACCCAATTGCACGCTCTGCAATCCAATCAGGATGACCGGAATCATGGTTCGCCCATCCCGAGTTGATGCCGACGTCGCCGCCTCTGCTGCTGTGCCATCCTGGATAGCCGCGGTTACTTGATTGGTAACAACTGTCTCTTGCTCCTGCTGTGCGACCGGTTGTGGAAGGTGTTCCTGCTCTGGCATGGAGTTGGAGCCAGCCAAGGCCAGTGCTGAATATGCAGTCGAAGAATTAATGGCAGGGAATCGATGTAGGCGCCACCAGTTGAGCCCGATACCTGGCCTGCCTAGTGGTGAGGGTTCAACAACAGGAGAAGCATCATGGGTTATGGATAGACCGTCACTTCTGAGCTCTTCCTGGGCGTGGATTCCGGATGGTTCCGATGTCGAGGCTGAGTCCGATGCCGGAGTTTCCAATGGTTCTGAACCTTGTTCCGTAGAATCGTCATCATCATCACCGTCCTCGTCCTCGTCCTCGTCCTCGCCGTCATCACCGTCTTCCTCGTCGACATCGCCCTCGGCTTCGTCCTCGGCTTCCCCGTCCTCGTCCGGTTGTTCGACCTGATCTTCATGACTGTTTTCCTGCTCTCCACCAGACTGTCCCGCCCCGCTCAATGCGACTCTCAACTCAGCCTGCAGGTCTACGAGGAACCGTTCAAACGTCCCTTCATCCGGTGTAGGGCTCGCGTCCGAAATCGAAGCGCCACCGCCATTTCGGTTGTTTCCGAGACCGAGACCCAGCCCTACATTGAATGCACGCGCCATTTCCGAGAGCATCCGGGTCCGTTCGTCTTGTGGATACGCCGCCGGAGACGCTGGTGTTGCTGGTAGCGAAGTAGGGGCCGTGGTCGGAGTCAACGAGTCCGAGTCCATAGAGGGCTCCCTTGCATCACCTAGGGATTCGGCAGCTGCCGTCGGCGGTGTAGCGGAACGTGTTGAAGGTGAGGATGCTGATGGTGCTGATGCGGCGGATGCCGACGAAAGCAGTGAGGCAGCTGTCGCCTGTGCAGCGACTCTGGAATGCGCAATGTTAGCCCATTCAAGACAAGACGGCTGGACATGTAGCATTGCAGCTGTGGCATCGCAAATGCCTCGACCGGGAGCAGTCACGCGCCACGACAGGCGATGAGAACAAAGATGGGCGCATGCAATCTACCCGCTATCCTGCCCACGAGCGAGAATTAATTATGAGCACTCACGTTAGAAGGGTTCCCAGCACGTCAATGCTGCTGTTTGAGATGGGCACTGAGGGGGAATTCGCGCCGTCCGTGTCCGAGGGGTTGGAGTTAATAGGATTGGAATTGGATGGCTGGATGTCGGTGGTATGAACGACACCTTGGACGACTACGAGCGTGCCATGGGGCGGGAAGGTCCGAGCCGGCGGAGTCACGGGCGGAGATACAGGGAGTGCGGGCTGGTATGGGACGGGTGTAGCTGCTCGCTCGCGGACCTCGGGCGTCTCATCAGCAGTCTCCGCAAAGTCTTCGACCAGTGTCTCGACAGGAGGCTCATCGAAATTCTGCACCAGTGGCAACGCCTCCTCCTCCTCTTGCTCAGCATGCACGTCGGGCAGCTGAGGCTCGACAGCATCCCCTCCGAAGGAGAGCTCACCTGCCCCTAGCCCTACGTCAAGCTCCTCTGGTGCGCAAGATGCACGTCTGCTGCGTCGGCCATCCATTTTCCCAACAAGACCGAGAATACTGTTTCGGAAACGTGACTTGGACGGCCGCCTCGTTCTCGTTACTGTCCGAGGCGCTGGCTCTGTGGGAGCAGAGGCAGATGCAATCCGGTCGGCGCTCGCCCCACGGGTGGAGATACCATGATTAGAGTGGGATGCCGAGCGGCGGCGGTGGGACGCGGACTGACCCATGACTGTGAGTGTTGGGGAAGGAGTGAATGAATGCCCGTGACGATGTCATCGCCATCACGATGACAGGTGCACTGCCACAGTGCTTACCACACGTGCTTCCCATGTAAGTAATACTGGTCCGTTCCCCCAGTCATACCCTGACATACCCTGCATCGCAAGCCCTGATGGGGCAGAGACGTGTTATATTGCGTGGGTTTCAAGAGCGCTCCTGTTCAGCCCTTGAAGCTAGTGTGCGATGTATGGCCTCCATCGCAGGCAAACTAGTAACATCTGCGACACCAGGCATGAACATAAGCAGCAAGTGCTGGGCAAATGGCAGATGCAGCTGGCATGATGTCCTGATGACCTCCGTCGAGATCGGCCCCCTTTTCAAGTCCGATTACATTGTCTTCAAGAGCATATACAGGGCAATTGAGATACATCGAGATATTGGCTACATTTGTCGTCTATGATATGCAATATAAGGATATGGCTACTTCCTTCCCCGTACAATCAGGCCGCCGTCCCAACTGCTGACTGTCCAGCCTTCCGCTTCCAAAGCACGCCTCACAGCGGGCTTCAGTACACTGACACTATTAGCAGAATGGGCGCCACGGCCCGTGATGATCTTCAGTGGAGAGTCTAAAAAGAGGGAAATGAGCACGGATGCAAAGGCAAAGGACGCAAGACGGGCTGACCTGCACCCCAAGAACCTTCCGACAGCACCTCATTCACAATGATCACTGCCTCCGACACGGTGACACCATGCAAATCCAACATATCTCCTCCACGCTGATGGCGAGAAGAATCAACGATCATCCGAGCAGCGTCAAGTGAATCACGTCGGGCCATTTCGCCGAATTCGCGTGCGCGCTCGGCATAATACCCCGCAGCTTCTCCCCCGAGACCTCCACGGAACTTTGACCACGCCTGTGCTGCTTCTCTCAGCATTTCGTTCCGTCGCCGAACATTCTCTCCCATTCGAAGCCGGTAAACGTCGATGTTTGACCCCCTTTGGCGAGAAGAGACTCCATTGACGTCCCGAGAGTAAGTAGGCACGTGGAACGGCTGGGTTTTGTGGCGCTTGGCATTGGGTATGGACGGATTGGGAATATTATGTGGTTTCCAACGCGACGGGACAGCTTGCCAGCCCCGAGTTTTCGCCGCCTGGGCCGGTGTTGTGGAGGAACCTCGATCGAGAGGAGGAGGCTGAGGATTTGGCGGACCAGTAGGGAGCGATGCAATACGTTTCACGACAGGCGCAGGCTTGGACCCCGAGTCAAAGAATTGAGGTTCATTGGCGACTGGACTGTGATACAAAACCCCTCGTCCCATTTCCCCTTCTTGGTCCAGGTCACGCAATACTCGCACCAGCTCAAGCGCGTCGTCGGCACGACCGTGGGAGGCAGCCAATGCCAGCTCGGTATCCGAAAGCAGCGAGGCATATGGTGAAGGATATGAAGGAAGCAAGATGTCAACCAGAGTGTACAATGCCTCAACTCTGGCAGCGTCTTCCTCTTCACCAGAAGAGCTCGATGTGGATCGTATGCTCCTCAAAGCAGCCACCAGGGCCTCGTACGGCGTGCTGCCCTTCGCAGGGTCATGGAAGAAGGACAAGAAAAACGATGGTTGATGTGGAGGGAGATGATTGGAGACATGAGTCGCCAGCGAGGCAAGCCGCGCCCAGGGATCGATGGTATCGTTGTCTCTCTTGGACGGAATGACCGAAGTGCCGTCCTGCTTTGCCGTTCGCACGACATGCTGCTGCTGGCGAATGTCCGATAACGCAATCTTTTTCTGATCTCCTTTCGGTTTGGCCTTCTTCTTCACCGCAGCCTTAGGCCGATACTCGACTGTCTCCCATTGCGCAGCAGACTCGAACGCCGCCAAGGCAGCAAGCTCGTCGTCATCCAGATCTCTTTCCCGTAATTCCCGCTCAGTCTCCTCAGACAAAATCGTCGCGATGATGTCCCACATGTCAATCTCGTGTTCTTCTTGCTCCGAAAGAGCGCTCAATAGCCGCTCGCGAGTTACGTTTGGCAGCACCATCTGCAAAAACGCCAGCGGAGTGTTAATGGTCAGCGATATACGGTCCGAAGGAGATCCCGAAGAGATTGTCGGAGGCGTAGTAGTGCAGAAGTCCCGGTTACTGTTCGTGTCGTCGGAACACGAAAAAGCCGCGTCCATTTCCGCCGAGGATTCGAATGTGGACTCATCGGCGTGTGCTGCCAGCTCGATGAGGTTGCTGCGCAAGGCTGAGATTTGTGCATCAATGGAAGGTTCATCCGGGGTTGGATTGTAGTCAATGTCGGCGAGAAGAGCGGCAAGGAGGGAGCTATCCAGCGGAGGGCAGAACTCTTTCTGATGGCTTCCCACTTCAATATCGGCTAATGCGGCGCTTCGACGGAGCCCGTACCTGAAAAGAGTCAAATATCGCGTCCATGGTATGTTTTACAGTGATGGATGGGGACGCGAGGATGGGAAAGGCAAATCACAATGGAGATATGTAGTTGTGTGCTGAGATTGAGATAGAATCGCTAATGATCAACCAAACAAGTGTCAAAGGTGGCAGTGCAGCGCATACAACCTCTGACACGCCCACACTCATTGTCCACCACTAACTACTATATTGCTGCGAATTCCTGGAGAATTACGATGCTGTTCTTTCTATCTTCAGTTGCCTTTCTGGTACTCATCTCCCTCTGTTCGTGATCTTCTTTCCCCTCGGCATCGCCGCTTACTGTACATACTTTTGACAATGCGCAGTCGCCTTCCGTTACCGCGAGCGTATCCTGAGCCGCATCCCCGACCGATTTATTCCCCGACTGAATCACTACCAACCCCTTTCGACCTTCGCGGAGCAAATTGGCGCGGGGATGTCGTCGGCGGATTTCGATCTGGAAGCGAACGTGCGAGACGGGGACAGCCGGACTGGACTCGATGAGTCTGCGTCTATGGAAATTTCAGGCATCATGAAGAGGGAACGAGTCAAGTGAGCATACTGCTTTCGTGCTCGAGCATCCCCCCCAGCTGAATATACAACTGTAGCTTCGATCAAGCCAGGTTGATTCGACAGAATCGCATCCTGGCGCAGAACGGAATCGATCCATCTGGTAAGCTGTTCACCGCATATCGGTTTTCGGGTGGGACTAATTCGGGATTGTAGGAATGCCACTCGATTCAAAGGCCATCACTCGCCTTTGAGTATCGTGTCGTGTCCTCCGTTGGAGATTCCCCTCCATTCCTCATTCCTCTGCTATTGTATCATCTCACCCATATGCTGCCCTCTCCGTTCTACTTCCGTAATGGAAGTTCCCGGAACACTTTTTGTATAACCACTGCTGTACCTTGCTCGAAACTATCCTGCCACTCTCACCTTCCGAACCTCATCTGCTCAATGTGTTGTTAGCCGCGTTGTGTCCGTCCTCCGGCCATACTCTGGACTTATTCTCACTATGACTGGTCATTACGGCTGGCGCACAAACTCGAACTTGAGAGCTTTGTCTCTCGGAAGAACATGCGCTTCGTGCCTCGTTCAGATGACTTGAGGCATGATCGAACGCATTAGAAGAGGTTGATTTGTGCATCTTCGAGCTCCTCCAGCTCAATAACTGTCGTTGCTTCACGAGAACATTGTGTATTCTCTGACATTCGTTAGTGGTGTATTTCACATGAAGTGCGAGGCCCTCATCAGCGAGAACTGTGATCATATAAACTGGTCCAGGAGTGCTCATGATATCTCTGTAAGCACTCCAGGGGTTGCTCAGCTCGGACGATAAGTTCTTGCCGGGTCGAGAAGAGAGTTTTAGCGACACTCACTCGACTCTTTCTGCCTCCACGTCAAGTCTCGTTCTCGAGCGCATTGCCCACCCGCGGGACCGTTGTGTCACGTTATCGCGCGCCGCCAACTGTTTTGATGGTAAAGCGAAGAAGATCGCTATGCCATTGACTCAATCCCGCGCCCAAAGCCTCTTGATCTTCTACCATGACGCCCGAAACTACTCTTGTTAACCCAGATCATGCCATACGACTAGTTCACCGTCATAGCAAACCGTTCTTGCTCCTCGAGCTGCCAACAGAGCTCATACTTGACATCCTCACACACGCAGCCTCTATCTCCAAAGAGGTGTATCGTACATTGCTGTTGATGAACAGACGGATCTACTACTTCGTTCGCGGCGAGAAGCTTCTCACATTGGTGCCGATTGTCCTCTCCACAGGGCTCAATTTCGAGTCATTCTCCGAGTATCTCAGTCTCCGCCTGGGGGAGTCAGCTTTGGTCCGCCACCTGTTCATCTTCCCGCGAACTGCATCCAATCGCACACACAACGCCCATTGCGTGTCGATCGTCAGCCAATGCACCGAACTGCGATCCCTCGGTTGCGGGACGACGCTCCTGTACCAGTCTGTGCTGGGCCTCGGCCATCTGCGACACGTCCACTGCGTCGATCTGACGCTTGTCCGATTCCAGGAGACATGGGACCGTCTTATGTCCTATTCCCCCCGCGCCATCCAGTTCATGCACCAGCTCCGAGATCTGCATCTCATCGGCAACTTAGACCACGTCATCTGGACCCAGCGCGGAATGGTCCCTAAGCTCGACAACCTCGTGCACCTGTCCCTCGCGTTGGGAGGATACAATCATCTGCCGCAACGGATGTTCGAGGACGTCGTCCGCTCGCCCAAACTCGAGCAGATCGTCATCACGACCAAAGTACACGGAGCAAAAGTAGGAGTCCACTCCCAGGTTTTTTTCGTTTTCCTTACTCATACCGACGGCAGGAGCAAGCGCTCAAAGACGCCGCGTACGACTTGGACAGCAGGTTCTCGGTGCTGCATCGCCGGCGACGGTGGAAGGAGAGGGAGCTGTGGATGCGAGCTGTGCGCAATCCAGACGCGTTCTGGGAGCAGGCCGCGCGAGAAAAGTATTTACCTCCCTCGGAGCACGACCTCCCCGCTCGGCGAACGTGAGGCTCGGGGTACTACTTTTTTTGGGGGAGAGGACGCGTATGTCCCGGAACCGATAACAATGTCAACATTACATAACGTACAGATGAAACAAGACCCGTAGCTACTCAGGCTCGCGCGCCGTACACGTCTTGCGGCAGCACACCGCCCTGGCCGCGGCGCGCGTTGGCCTGGGCCCATCTAGCAAATCATCAGCACCACCGCTGGGGAGAAACAAGCAGATGAGCCTACTTTTTGACACGGATCGACTGGATCTGGATGAAGCCGCTGGTATCCGTGGGCTCGAAGCCACCCATCTCGTCCATGGAGCTCTGTCGCTCGTCGTACAGACCCTCCTCGCTCTGCCGGCCCTCAACGACAACATTGCCCTTGTACAACTTCAGGCGGACGGTGCCGTTCACCGTCCGCTGGCTGGCCGGAATGGCGCTCATGACGAATTCGCGCTCGGGTGTGAAGAAGTGGCCGTTGTACAGAATCCGGCTCAGCTCGATCGTGACAAACTGATCCCGCAACGCACGGACGTTGCGGTCGAGGGTGAGACCCTCCAGGTCGATGTGAGCAGCTCGGAGGATCGTCGCGCCGGGCGATTCGTAGCACCCGCGCGATTTGACGCCAATGAACCGGTTCTCGACGATATCGATACGGCCGACACCGTGTTTGCGCCCGAGGGCATTAAGCGCAACGAAGATGTCGACAGCATCAGTGTACGTCTTGTTGTCACCGGAAATCACGACCTTGGTCGGGAGGCCCTTGTCGAACTCGATCGTGATGCGTTCAGGTGTTTCCGGTGCCTCTTCCGGGGCAGTGGTCACTTTCCACATATCGACCGGAGGCGTCGTGTTCGGGTCCTCGAGGATACCAGCCTCGTAGGAAATGTGGAACATGTTCTCGTCTGTGGACCATGGCTTGGCAGCAGTCTGAACGACGGGAATCCCCTTCTCGGCAGCGTACTCGAGCAGAGCCTGACGGCCAGGGAAACGGTTGTAGAATTCTGATGTGTTCTCCGTTAGTGCGGAGGAAGTCGAGGAGAAAAAGACGGGTAAGCACCAGGTAACCGCCAAGGAGCGATGACCTTGATGTCCGGCTTAAGACCGTAGAACGCCAATTCGAATCGAACCTGGTCATTGCCCTTGCCAGTGCAGCCATGGGAAACATAACTGGGAGTTGTGCGCATGAATCTCCCTGGAACATCGGGAGGCCGATGCAATACTCACTCGCAACCTTCCCGATCCGCGATCTCGATTAACCCACGCGCCGTGACCGGCCGAGCAAGGGACGTCCCGAGCAGATACACGTTCTTAAGCCGGCTTAAGCTCGCGTGAAACGGACACAGGGAGCGGGGACGCGCACCTCATAGATGCAGTTGGCTTGTACAGCAGGGTAGATCAGCTCCTCGACGAATTCGCGCTTCAGATCCTGGTGATCGCGCCTCAAGTCAGAACCCGATGGACAGTGGATTCCACATCCAGACGCACCGCCAGGAAAAACTTCTTGGCTCCGACTTTGAGTGCCTTCTTCTCAGCAGCGGCAAAGTCCTAGCACGGCATGAATAAAATGGTATGTATGAACGAAGGATAGAGCACGCACGTCATCTTGGCCCACATCGGCCATGAATGCGTACACCTCGTATCCCTGCTCAATCAGCCATGCGAGGATGCAGGAGGTATCTGCGATGAAGATCAGCTGAAGTGCAGGGCGATCCGACGCGCGACTCGCCCAATCCACCGGAATATGCGAGCAAAACACGTCCTTTGGAGGCAGACATTGCGGTTTGGAGAGAGTAATTAACTGATCGAGTCACACAAAAATTTTGGTGCGCGACTGGCCTCGCATCACAAAACCGACAAGTCGGCCGACAGATCAATCAGTGACATCATGAAGAGCCCCTATTTCCATTCACGACTGGGAGTTGAAAAGGTTGGAAGAACAAGTGAGATCCTTCGATCAAGGTCGAAAAATAGTCACGAACCATAGATTTTCCATAGCACTAGTCATGATATTTCCATTTCTTTTCTCTTTGAGTCAACATTCGGTCTGTCCAACTGGCTAGAGGATTCCATAGACAGCCGTGGGCCGAGGAGTACAACGGACATCAAGAACTTTCCTCGAACGCAATCTCGTTTGAATGTCCCAATTATCGGGCGGCAGGATAGTATTGGGGAGCCAATAGGAGGGATATGATGAAAATACTACAGGCATTCCATTTAAGTAAAAGTAAGTTCCGTCCACAATGACCTGAGGGATGTCTACATTCATCGATAGACCTGGAAGCTTTACGACTCTGAATTTCCTTCTGAGTGGCAAAGCCAGAAGCATCATTGACAGCGTCTCATTCATTGAATGAGAATCGGGCTGCCAGTCCCGTAGCCAATATCACAGCTGATTGCCGCTCAGGATATGTACTCATTCAGAGATTACATCAGTCAGAGAGGAGATCTCTCGTCACTGCTTTTCATCGAGCATACGAAATGACCAGGCTCATCAGGCGCCCAAAACATGTGTCATGATCATAATTTCACAAGCCTCATCATCAAATTCACACGGTTCGACAACCCCTTGTAGTCTCTACCCATCACCTACTGCAGGCACAGAATACGAGGCTCGACGGGTTCACGCTTGGCGCAGCGGCCACGGATGCAGTCACGTGCCTCCGGGACGGCGCGGACGGTAGGGCCGGTCCACGGGGGGCACGTGGTGGTAGGGATGATAATCTGTTAGGAATTGCGTATGAGATGAGTCGTAGACAGTAATAAGTAGATGATGCTCACTCTCGCCTCAACGGGAGCAGTGGCGACGACTGTAGTGGCCGCGAGAGCGAAGACGGCAAGGATGGTGCTAGCGAAACGCATTCTCGGTGATGTGAATAGGAATACTAAGGGCAGTTCAGCTGGGAGACCGGACTGAGGGAATTCCGACTATGCCGACTTGGATTTATACTCTGCGGAGGCACATAGCACGTGCGCGATAGCTGTTACAAGCATTATCTCTGCTGATGCGCTCACGTTGTCCCAGCGCTCATTGAATAGGAGTTTCTTTGATAAAGAGCGGTACCCATCGGTAGCCAGGTCCAACCGGGAAGAGTGAGATCAGTGAATTGAACCCGTTCCCGGGCATTCAGTTAAGCGAAGGCCAAGAAAAAGCCCATAAGCTCAACATCCATAGCCAATACATATTCTCTATCGACGATCATCTCATACAACTCGATCAGTTCGCTCCGTGGCACCGAAAACGCTAGGGCCCAAAGACATTTAGTAAGATCAATGATTAACCCGCGATCAGGAAACGTAAATCGCCGTCGAAAGATAAAAAACTGGCCTCAACAAAATATATCAATCCCCACTTGTACGGCGCTAGTTAGGGGGAAATCTAGCTCCGCCAAAATTCCACTCTGTTTTACGCCGTACCCGGGCTCCCCGAATCACTATTTAACACTCCTTGTGGCGGGCAAAAGTCGAAAACTCGAGGATTTTCGAGTGCATTCCGGAGGATGTTTACATTGAGTATCCGTGAGCTTCGACTGCTACCTGCCGATTCGATCGATGGAAAATTGGAAATTGACTCTGTGCCTCTTGATGGAAATAGCACAGCCGCTGATGTGATGCAAGAACTCGACGCCTCGTGGACGAAAAAGGAAATCCTCTCCAACACGACAGCGAATGGACAATGGTACACTATGTAGATAACTGATACATCAAGCTGAATCCGAGCAAGATCCGCGACTAATCAACCAGACGGAACCGCACGATCGTCTTCTCGCCCGGGAACCGCCGGTGCGTATCGTCCGGCAAAACTGCCACCTCGAGCTCGCCTTGCATCGTTCTGGTTCTGTGCCCAGTCGGGTCAGAAGGATGGCCTGCCGAATACCGGACGCTGATGGGCATATCTACATGGTGCGAGCAGGCGAATCGGGTGACGACGCCGCCCGGGGGCCCGAGGATGCTCACCCAGCTCGTCGGATCGAATTCAATGCCGCTAACGTTAGCGATCTCGTCTTTAACGGCATGCACCGCCTGCTCCACGAGATGCCGACGCGAGACGACATCCATGTGCGGCGCGACGACGGAGAACTCGCCGCTGAAGTCAAACATGGATTGTGACGGCAGCTGGGGGGCTTCTTTGGCGGTCCGGGCGATGAAGTAGAGAGACTGGGCGCCTATGAAGTCACGAAAACGGACGGCGAAGTCTTGCAAGAGATCCTGGCAGCATTGGTACAAGGGATATGGGGAAATCCGTTTGCGCTTCTTGGCAGGCTCAGGTGGCTGTCGCATTCCGGTCAGAACATGTGCGGCAGATGCGATGTCACGACAAACCTCTGGAGGAGCGTGGACGAGCTGCTTCTTCGGTCTGTCACGCTGCACGGTGGTGATCTTCTGCTCGGACAATGGTTTCCGCCACAAACACTGCTGGCATTCAGTATCGGGCAGCGCATCCGCCGGGACGAGGACTCCGCAATCCGCATGCACGCATCGACCAGGCACGTGATACGGAGTTAACGGGTATTCGGCAGCATCCACGACCTGCGATTTCCGCTCCTTGACCAGCTTCCTCTGCTCTCGCACTCGGCACAAGCCGCATTTGTCCCACTCATACTCTGTCGCCGGAGGAATGATATGTTCACAATAGACACCCGCGCATTGCCTCGCGCCAGCCATCGCAGCACACCTGGGCCTCTCTCTGGTCATCTTCCCGCTCGGTAGAGCAACTGGCGTACGTCGGCCTTCGTCCCATTCTCTTATTAGCCGTTGTTCCATCTGAGCTCGGTAAGCAAGCGGCGATGTCTCCGTCACCTCCGGGTTGGCCGATGGATCGCCGAGCACAGCGCCGACTTGAACGAGAGCAGCGTGAGCGGCACCGGCTGCAATCTTTCCCAGCCGTTGTCTTTGATATTCGCGGTAATGATTGCGACATGCTTCACAACACTTCCAGCGGTATTCAGACAATGGAGGGAGAGGCGTTCGACAACGAGAGATGGTACAGAACCGCGCTGGTTCTATGAAAGTGTCCGACGCCAGAGACAACTTGGCGGGCTTCGGAGGCTTGAGTATCGACTGTATTGTGACGGAAGCGCATGTGTCCGTCGTCAGAGCTGATTCTGTAGCAGGGCACGCTTGCTGCATGGACTCTGAGCGCCGGGTAGAAGCTTCCGACGCAGCGGCAAGCCCCGGAATGCGAATCTTGAGAGATGATGTTGGAGGGCTGTCTTCATCGTCCGTTTCCCCTGCCGAGTTCGTGAGTTCCGACAACTCGCTGTCCCATCCGCTAGGCCTGGAATCCGTCGTGTCTTCAGAAACGCTCTTCTTGACGTTATCGTGGCGATTCCCGCTGCTCTCGTCCTTCCCACCGAGAACAACGATCCTCCGCCCATCGGTATCCACAATCATCTCACCCGATGGACCGGCCTTGCCCACAGGTGTGAGTTTCAGCCTGATCGTTACTCTCTTCTGTGGTGTCCCCCCGGGCTTCCCAGCTGTCGCAGCCCGTCTTGCCTCGCATGTCTTGTCCTCCTTTAACGCGACGACCCGGGCTTGACTCTCCGCTTCAACTCTGGCTTCCCGTTCAGCCTGGTGCTTCTCCTGCATTCCCATCCAGCTCCCTCGAACGCAGCCCAGACAACGCTTGCCTTTAACCGTGACCGTGTTCTCGCACCCTATCGACAAGCACGTCAAACGCGACTTGCCGGCGACCGCGAGCATTGCTACCGGCTGCAAACCCGGTGGTGGAGGCCTCGCACCAAACCCAGGGACAAATATCTTCCCTGTTGGCCTTTGAGCTGGCCGAGGGCCAACACCACCCTCCATTGCCTTGGTACGATAATAGTTCCCGGATGGTCTCTCGCTCGAAGGGCCGGGTATAGGTGCGGATTTAGGCGCATGGCGGTATTGGACCGCGGGAGGAATCCGGTAACCAGCGGCGTTGATGGGGTATGGAGGTCGACCGCGTTTGCGAGGAAGACTCGGCTGTGTTACTGCAGGGATCCGGGACGAGGCAGGATGTGAATATTGCTCTCTGGGAAGCACAGGGAGAGGTTGTATCGGTGTGGTCACTACAGAGGGCTAACAGAACATGTTAGCGCCGTTGCGAGGGGTGGCAATTCTCCAAGGCTGCAGAACGCAAACGCAAAGATGATCCCGAACTGAACGAACCTCGTCATCAGGATATCTCAGCTCCATATCCAGTCCCCAGTCCAGATCTTCGTCTTCGGTCGATGGAGGAACAGGGTCGATTGAGGCCGGCTTAGTCTGAGCCTGTGCAAAGCAGCACCCCAGTCAACGAAATGGTATCAGGTTGGGGATAGAGAAAAAGATAGAGGACAGCAGGAAGGCAACGAACGATGCGGGGGTAGATCGTCCTTCAGTGGATATATCCAGGCGCGATTGGGCCCTATGAACTTTCGATCTGCTGACGCGACTGGAGCGCGTCAAAGACGCGACGGAGCTAACCAATTGCGATATCCGGCATACCTTGTCAGGTACAGGTACAGAGCTCGTTCCAATTATCGTGTTTGAGACAATTTCACCGCGCACATTGAAGTGAAATAGGGGAGGAGGAAGAGAGGGCGCCGGCAGCTGCGGCGTCGATGAAGAGGACGCAAGACCAGACTAGAGCAAATCCGAGTCTTCCAGTCAAGATCGTGCCTCTTATCCGGAGTGATAGTGAAACGCACAGGACAAACGGAGCAGGTGAATGCGGATGAATGACCATTTTGGCATGCCACCAATGCCATCGGCGCGTTTCCTCCTGTCGAAACGCTCCAAGTGGTGCTTCTCGCACAACTAGATAATGGCGATGGCGAAGAAAAAAAAGTTCTGAGAAAAAATCGGCCACAAGTTACATGGATCGACAAATGCGCAAATAGTCGACAACATTCAGTGTGTAAAATTTTGATGATCGTCGGCAGTGACCGAGGAAACAATATGTGCAGGGGTCTATTAGATGCAGAAATGATATATACCGACTATTTACGGTGCCCAAAGGAGGAATCAAAGTAATATCCAGGTCCACGTCTCTCCTTATACAAAGTTGATTCCATTGCTGTACGCTTCAGAGTCGGATGTGTCGTAGACGTCGACATCCTCATCAACAACGACGAGCTTCCGAGCATCGATACCTCCGGCAAGTAAACCAAATCCAAAGCGCTCTGACACAATCCACCGCACCGGATGAGTCTGCAGATCACGCAGTTGATCCCGGATGAAGGTGTGCTCGGCGTCGCCTTCAATGTGTGACGGCGGCAATGACACGTTCCATCCGAGATATAGGCTGTGTCGGCCGAGCCCAAGGTGCGGGTCATCGGGATCGAGAGAAGAGACATGTGCAACCAGCCCATCCTCGTGCGAATAGCTCATCCCAAACATGGTCACTAGCGCGGGGGAACATCCCCGACGAAGCATCTTCCACATAGCACTCCGGGCATTGTTGAACGGGACTACTCGTGATGGCGGCTCCCAGCGAGGGAAATCATACGCGACATCTTGATCAGAGTACTCGTCTGAATCGATTTCGCCTTGCTCTTCTTCGGAAGCCGACACATTCTCGCTGTCCGTCCCGCTCTCATACATCCGATTGTCATCCATCCAAACCAGCTCGTAAGGATCGATAGAATCTGCACTGGCGGGCCCATAATATGGTCCCTCTATGGAGCTTGCATCGGATCCGTTTTCGTCATCTTCTTCATCTTCATCGTTGTCTTCGTCGGAAAAGCACATCAATTGCAGCGACGGAAACAGGCCTTTCCAGGGATCCACGTCTTCCATCATGGTGGACGCGGATGTCTCTGGGCGAAGCAGACCGACCATGTTCTTGATCACGAAGACAGGAACCGGACGGCGCGTAATGCGGCCGCGGCAGCAGGGACACTTTTTCTGGCGTCGCAAGGCGTAGTCAGGATCGAGATCCATCTGATCGTCGTGTTCGTTCTGGGGTGCAGACCGGAACCATTGTTGCAGGCAGTCAAGACAAAACATATGACCGCAAGGTGTTAGGCTACGGCAATGAGAGTATGTTGGAAGCCATGAAACGGATTAGCTTACAGATATGGCCGCGTGAACAGCTCAATACAAATCTGACATTGCAGTGAAGACTCGACGGATTGTATCAGCCCATCATTCTTCTGAGCTTTCGAGGTCAAGTCAATGATTTGCCTATCCCGCTCTTCTCTGGCTGAGATCTCGGATTGCACTTGCAATTTGAGTTCTTCGACCGTCTTGAGAGAGATGAGCACTGATTTCAGGGTCCAGAGGCTATCACAGACCTTATTCTGCTTTTTCAGCTGCTTCTTGTAGTCATGCACCAACTTCTTCGTCGCCTCCAGATCCTTCCGCATCCGATCATACTCCGACGAAGGTGTCACTGGCCTTGAGGGCACAACTTCCGATCCATGTCCGTGCTGCCTTCCCTTCCCTTTCACATCTGGCCGGGAGGAACTTTCCGGCCTGGGGCGCAGAGTAGATGAAGAAGGTGCGGAGGAGCGGTGGATATGTTTGGGAGGAGTAACGATGCTGATAGCGCCCGCGCCAGATGATGACGAGGGCCGGGACTTGATTCGCTGACCCCGATCGACAGTCGCTTCCGTTGGGATGGCGAACGGACTGATAGCGAAATCAGTCGACCGCTTACGCTTGATATTGTTGATAGGAGGGGTTTGGGAGGTTGAGAATGGATCGAGAAGTCGACTCCGGGATGGGGATCGAGACTTGCTTCGCCGTGTCGAGGGCTCAGCTGCTGAGTGCATGCGTGGAGTCGGAGTGGCGGGGGCAGAGGTTTTTCGGCTCGCCGTGCTTCGGTTAGGGATCGCTGCGTTACGTTCCAAACGGCTCATGGATTCGACAGAAAGAGGGAAGAGGTGCAGACGAATTGATGTAGGGGGTGGGTGGCAGAAGACGTAGAGAGCAAGCTGGTCCACGCGTTAGAGGAGGAAAGCAGTGGGCCCTGCTCTCTTCATAAGCCGAGGGGCGTCGTGGCTTGAAACACGGTCGGGCCAAAGAGGTGGCCCTGGGACGACAGGTAAAGGGAGAGCGAGAACAATGTGGTGCTGAGCTTTCTCAGGAATGTGACTGTAGCGGCGATCAAAGCACCAGCGGCAAATCGGCGATCACACAGCACAAAGACACGTCTTATTAATAATATGAATTTATAATTTAATTTTGACCAAGATATTGATTTATACTATTCCTGGCCAGGTAAGGTAGGCGTCATCAGGAACCAGCACCCCTTACTAAGCGTCACAGAGTGACATTCCGTGACGGACAATGGCGGCGGCCACAGATAAAAAATGAAAGATATGTTCAGATTGAATGCTTAGGGAGGTCATTAGAGCACCTTGTATCTGAACGGAATCTGCATAAATGGTCTCTGAGGTCCATCATGAGAGGTCGAAGATTTTCCCATCAAACATTTTCTATTGATGTTCAAAGTGTTTCTTAGCCAAATGCAGCACTTTTCAAGTTTCGGACCCAAAATTTGAGGCTGTCACGTGATGTCCCAATTAGGAAGTGATGACATCTAGCACTAGAATAGGCTACATCTTCAGTATAGAAGCTCAATCTGTTCGGATTGCAGCTATAGGTGGCAAAAAACTGCTGTTCAAGTCTTTTGGAGGCGTCACAAAGCCATAAAAATCAAAGTATTTTTTCGGGACCCAAGATTTGAGGCGTGACAGCGTGATGTCACATGCTTAGTAAGGGGTGCTGGTTCCTGATGACGCCTACCTTACTACAAAAGCGATCTGGAGTTCCCCGCTTCTTTATCCAGGCATTCCATTTAATTTAATATAAAAACAAGCTCCTTGAAGTCATGCGGCTTTGCCGCAGCTGCCTCTGGTCCGGAAGTAAGACCTGCAGGTGAACAGGATGGACAACATGTTGCAATGCACATGCTCACCGAGGCAGGAGGGATCTAACAGAGTACATATGACGTTTGAATAGGCCATATGGAAACAACCTAATATTCGAATTTCGTGCTCATTGACACGGTGGTCACGTACACGTGCTTAGCAGTCAACGTGACCGTGATACCGTGTAACTTCGACTGAACGCTCGACAGCGCTCGCTATGACCTCGCAATCTATTCGAGATTATCTCACTAAGGAGATCCTCATCGAGAACAACATTGCCAGTACAGTTATGCTGTATGTTCGCTGTGGCTCACGCATCTCTAGGTCACCTTCCGTTCCCTTAGTCGTGCCTTCTCGTTGCATGTAAATCTAGCGAAAAAGTGGGCTCTCCGCTTGGCGCTCTTGTCGCGACTGAGTCAAATCAAGCCATCTCGCTGAGTTCCAGGCAACCGATCCTGACAGGCTCCACGCGACCTACCTTCTGAGCGGCGAGACGCAGAAACCGCCTCCGAGCCGCCTCAGCAAACAGGCCGCGCGCAATCAGTCGGATGATGTGGACATGGAGGATGACGATATGACTATCTATGCGCCAGTGCATGATGAGAAGGAGGAGGAGGAGGAAGAGGAGGAATACATTCCGCAGATCGAGATGATGCTGGTCAATGAGAAGGACCTCGAAGGCGCGTGTACACAAGCTCTGGCTTTGATACCGATTCGAACTGCTTCCAGTTGCACGAGCCAAATTCGAATCCTTGGACAGTATTCACGTTTATAGTCTTTCCTCGGCCGTCATAAAGGTGCAGGTGTCCTTGCCTCTCTTCGACAGTGGGCACTCATCCTTACTCTAGGATGCTGGTCTACTCTGTACACCCACCGACTTTGTTGTGCGGAAACTCGACGACCAGAAAGGCGACGAATTGGCCAAGGTGGTAGGGCGGATAAGCTGCGCTGCCGTGCAGGTTCGTCTCCCGTAGATGATTGTGATCATTCACGTATCCTTTCCAAGGTATCTAACAAACCCATCCAACACTGGGGCAACAGGAATGCACCGACCGCTGCTCCTGCTGTTCCTGCCGCAGGACCATCAAAACCAGCAGACACCACAGCCAAAAAGCAAGCCGAGGACAAATTGAAGGAGAAGGAGAAACCGAAAGCCACGGGCAAGCTCGATTTCAGTAAAGCTAAGACCAAGCCGCCGCCGGAGAAGAAGGAAGAGAAAGTCAAGGCCGAACCTAAATCCAAGGCGAAAGAGGCCGTGTCGCGCCAACCATCAATGGCCAAGACGACGTCAGGGAAAGTCCAAGAGAAGATGGACGAGAGTAAGGTATGTGAACGAGACTGCTGACGTCGAGTGTCGATATGACCTCTCCTAGAAACGTGGTCTCAAGCGCAAATCAGCCCTGGCTTCTGAGTCAGAGGAAGAAGAGGAGGTAGAACCTCCAGCAAAACCACCCCCCAAAGCAGTCGTCGAATCAGCCTCATCGTCCGTTCGAGCTCGTAAAGGAGTTATCTTGTCGGACGACGAAGACGATGCCGCGGCACCCAAATCCAGGCCGATACGCAAGGGCAAAGCGAAAGCTGTCGTACCAGATTCAGATTCTGAAGTCGAAGAGCAGAAGAAAGATCTACGTGCGATGATGGATATCGACGATGGTGTGTTTCAAGGGAAGATGGTGGGGGCTGCACTGACTTGACTCGCAGACGATGTCTCGCGAAGCTCTTTCTCGAAACCGCCCTCGCCCGTACCAACAGACGAGGGGTCGGATGTGGATATGGAGGAACCGGAAGAAAAACCAAAGCGCGCACCCGTGAAACGCAAGCCTAAGAAAGTCGTTCCTATCGGGAGCAACGGCCTGAAGAAGAAACGCGTCGTCAAGTCGAAAGCGACGATAGATGAGAAAGGGTATATGGGTGTGTACAAAAGAGGCATGATTGGAGCGCTACTCACTGTGCTTTCCAGTCACGCAAGACTACTCGGAGTACGAGACTGCAGATGAAGAGGGACCGGAAGAGGTAAAGAAGGAAACCAAACCCAAACCTAAAGCTAAGGCCAAGGTCGACAAGGCGAAAGCGGAGCAGGAGAAAGCTCCGGCCAAGAAGACCGAAAGCAAACCCCCCGCAGCCGCGAAACCAAAGCTGAAGCCTTCAGGACCTTCCAAACAGGGAAATCTGTCGGCGTTTTTCGCAAAGAAGTAGATCGTGTCCCCGCCTACATGTTCGCACGACCGAATCGCATGGTGCCTTACCCTGTCTATGTAAGGATACATGGGCAGTAGATACTTAGCACTGCAGTCGATGTGTATCCCCTTGATAGCCAGATAAAAGACCGCGCAGTGGCTGAGCTTGCTCCAGTCTCATTCCCAAAGATGCGTCTGTCAGCCTCCTCGTTGCTTGCCGCCGTGCTGTTTGTCGGAGGGCCAACGGTGCTTGCGCAACATGCCCGCGCTCCTAGCGTCGCACAATCGGCTGGACTGGTGAGCTCTACGACACTCCTTAATTACAGCCATGATAATTACAATATCGCACATAGCCCCACCCCAGCATCAAATGTCCTCCCATCATCTGCAGTCCCATAAACGAGGTCGAGCCACGAGATTGCATCCGCGGCAGATGCGCGAAGCGATATGCTTGCGTCAAATCGGAGCTCATCGCATGCCCGCAACTTGATTAGAGACCTCTTCATTGCATGTACGTAGTAAGAGACTCGGATAAAAATTCATGACTGTCACGAGCGGGCAAAGTACCAGGAAGAGGCAATTAGTGATTTACACGTGATCGCGTTATCGTTACATGTTTGTGCATGTGCTATAGAGTACAGCTTCGGGGGCGTGAAGCACACGCGTCAAGCGGCGAGTTCATTCCAGTCCTTGATAATCCAGCTGTCAATTTCAGACTTATTCCTTGTGTTCTTGATGAGCTTGTTGCCGTCGTAATTCAGGCTGATCGTGTGGCCGGGCGTGTCAGCCAGATGTATCCTGGGCACGATTGTGAGCAGGCCTGGTCAGCAAAGCGTCACTTACAACGTCATTGTAGCGGGGTTCCCGATTCCGGGCGTCGGCTCGAATGAGACAAAGGTAGGGAACTCAGCCATCGTGATCAGGTCCGAATCCTGGCTGGCGGTCGCCAGGAACATGTCGGCTGCGATGTGGAGGATCGAAAATGCTCGCGGGCCAACTGGGCAGATATAGAACTAAGACGTCCGACGATGTCAGAAGCCTCGCAAACACGATCCTGGATGAATGCCCTTACCCGTTGGTCGGCGTTCAGAACCGGTTTGGCTTGGGACAATATCGGCGGATCTTGTCGAGCGCGCTGGAAATTGGAGTATTGGAGGCACTGTTTCGTGTACGCGTTGAAAATTCGGATGGGAGTGCGAACTGGTACAGGACACCAAGGAATATGCGGACTATGAGGATGCCGTCAGATTTACTGGGGTGGTGGAAGAGAGAGAAACACGGCGGACCTCTTCAAAGTTTCTATGGGACCCACCGCCGCTCGCATCGCGGCCACCTCACGTTCAGCCATTAGCCGCTTGTACTTTGCATCCTTGAGCTCGAGCTCAAGTTTTTCAATCTCTTTGTCCTTTTCTGTCTGAGGAACGCCAGCAGCGAGTTCCTTTTTCTGCTTCTCATCGAGCAGCAGCTTGGCTTTGGCCGCTTCAGCGTCAGCGCGTACCTTGGCAAGTCCTACAGATGGCTATGAGCGGCAAGGCTGCGGCAAATCGGCAAACTTACTGGAAGCAGAATGCGGAATACGGCCGGGCTGAGATACTGCCAGGAACGATCCGGATCACAAGCAACTTTGGGATCAGCAGCGACGGCATCTACTTCGCGAACGATCTTGATCATCTCGAACCGACAGTCTCTCCGGGCCTTGTCGAGTGAAAACGTGGTGTAGGTGTATGGATTGAGGTCGTTGGGAGGCAGCGGCTCTTCGGCTTCGATCCCAATCAGTAGGGGAGGAACATACGGGGCTACGCGTGCCGGCGCTGGCGTCACTGGAGCTGGCACTGTCGTAGTTGGTGTCGACACTGAGGATACCGGTGCCTGCACTGTGGATACTGATGTCGGCAAAGGTGCAGAAGCAATAACCGCCTCAGAGGGAGCATTGTCAGGTTGAGGGCTACTGCTCTGGATGGGCTTGTTCTCGATGAGCAAAGTGCTGCCGCTGCTAGGATCAGGGTTCGAAGGCTGTGCTAGAGCACTTTGTTCCTTTGCTTGTTGCTCCAGTCGGGCGCGCTTCGCTTTGTATTTCGCCAGTTGCGCCTCGTAATTGGCCTTGGCCCCAGTTGCCAGCTCTTTCAATTGCGTGGAAGAGTCGTTGGTGAGTGTTCCTGTCTGGTTCTGTTCGATTTCCCATGTCGCTGGGCGGAGCTTAGTCTTCGAGCAGGTGGGTGAAAGCGTTAATACCTTGCTGGATGTTGCGCCACATAACTTTGTAGTCCATGTAAGCATCGAGGAGCGCAGAGGAGTATACCCCAGCATTCTCGTAGTCTGTAAAATCGTCAGCGCGCAAGGCAACAGAGACAAGGTCAGAAAAGTCATCACACCCAGCGGAGACCCCTGAATACTCTTCGTGTAGAAACTCTTCAAACTCGTGTACTTTGTCAGTATGGCGCTGATCTACGATTATCTTTGGTTCGAGACGCGTAGCCGCATACACGCACTTTGTTTTGAGGGGACATGCCATCACATGTTCTGGGAACTCCATTGCCACACTCTTCAGCGAGGAGAGCGTCCAGTCCGAGACCGTCGCATCCTTGATGTCTCCACCGCCCTTCCAAGAAACGGCAATGGTCGTCTCCCCCTCGATCCCCTTGCTCGCGTCCTTCTTCTCCAACGCGCCCTTCCCAGATACCGAGACCGCCGAGAAGTTCATGTTAACCTCGAGGTCCCCTTTGATTTCCTTCGTCTTCGAGCGGTCTTTCAGCTTGATGGAGATGAGAGCGTTGAATTCGCCGCCTTCAGTGAAACCTGTGTCCGGGGTAAGCATGGCCTGGATTTCGAAACGACTCGAGACGCGCTGGACTGACCAGAGATGAAGGAGTCCCCATAAACGCGGTTGAATTCTGAGGCAGGCAAATACGGTATAGGGCGAATTCAATGAGATCGGGTGCCGTGCGCAGCTGGTTCGTGACGCGCACTTGGATGAAATAGTTGATATCGCTCTCTTGGAACTTGTTCGTGTCGATGAACGAGGCGGAGGCCTTTCCGCCACCGCCAACTGCGTCACATTTGATCTGCAAGGACCCTGGGATGGCATGATCATGAAATTTCTCCGAGGTCGGGAGAAGTTGACGCGCCGCTGACGTTCAGGCTGTCTGAAACCTCGCTGATTCTGTCCACGAACTTGGCGGTCCATGTCACGTCTTGACTGATGTCCACGTTCCCACCATCCAAGCCGGTCATTTGCCCGAACTTGTACTGCGGTCGCGCAATCCGCTCAGCGCTCTGAGAGAAGTTCAGGAACGAATCTGTCGGTCGATGCAGCTACTCACCGCAGACGCGCGCACCACCCTCCAGCGTAACCGCGTCGTTGATGCACAGCTGTTGGGTGAAGGAGTTGAAGCTGCCTCTCCCATAAGCATCGGTCTATCTCGAGTCAAAGGAAACTCCACGCACCCCATCCCAAGCCGCATCGCGTCGTTGTACGGAGCGAGTAACACGGCCATTTTTGCAGCGGCGTAGAGTAATAGGGACAGAGTCAATGTGTGTTCACCCGGACGGCATACTCTTATGCGACGATCCATGGCTTGCCCGTGACGGGTTCTTGTTGATCGGTCCTGGAACTTAAGGTACGCACTAGCCGATGTTCAGCACGTCAGACAGCGCAAATGGTCGCGTAATGAGTCCAGTATCCGAAGATTCATGTATTTTGATCATGAAAAGTGGCCACTGAGAGGGAGAGAGGCAACTTGGAAACCTTGTGGTAACTTTGAGGTGAGGTTGTGTAAGTAGCAGGTCATCAGTTTTGATACTGATGAGATTCACCTTGCGATGAGATAAGCTAGACGTTCACGTGAAGACTCCCTTGTGTCCTCCGAAACCCGTGTTTACGTCAATGTCCTCAGACGAATCAACGCAAAGATCCTCTGCGGAACGTCCCAAGTCATCCTTGCGTCGCTTACTGCCGCCTCGTCTCATGGCTCTGTAGTTGAAGCCAAGGAAGGGCAGCATTGGACTGACAGTACTAACGCCCACTAACTCGAAACCTCCGCAACAGCCTGAAGACGGTTTCTCTCTCAAGCCTCTTTTGGATGCCCTCGTGAGAGAACCTCTCGACGCGTGCGATGAAGATGAGGATTAAGAAGTCGGTCTCGGGTTGGAAGGAAAGATCGAGGCGCTGTTGCCTGACTATGTGAGCGCAAGGACGACGATATTGCAGAGGTCCGCTGAGTAAGACGTCGCGGTGTGCACCAATACCGTGCAACCTCCTCTATCCTGTCAATCGCATGTACAGGGACGCTTGCTGAGACCGATGACGCGCTCCGAAGTGCATGAATTCGTAAGTGAGTCAGGGTCCGGGCGCGATGGAGAGGGAGAGTCGTTTTGGCCGCTGCCGTCCGTAGGCTCAAGGTAGGACGGGTGAGTGCTCAAGGTCTTCCAGGCATGACATACTGAGCCAACTGCCATTGGCAGGAGCGGCGGAGAGCAGAACTACATCGAATGCGCGATTTCAATATCCGCACTCAACACGATGCCACTCTCTCCACCTACTGCGCTATCGGCGACACAAGAGGCAACTGCGAAGGCAGCTATTGATGCGCTTGAGGCAATACGAGTAAGGCCGTTCGACAACTCGTCCCTGTCGCCACTTGTACAGCACGAGACGAGGTCTGGACGTGCCTGGTCTTGTTTCGGTTGGCTGGGAAACAAGAGCCACATGGATGTAACGTCTTCAAGCACCAGACCTTGTTGCAGTGGGTCATCTTTCTCTGTCATTGGATCCTGAATGCTGTGGCTGTAGCTTGGATCGCGATCACCTGATCAAGATAGCACTTGTGTACTCAGGCTACTCCTGCGCTCAGCGCTCATGCTTGGCAGATTGACTAAATTAACGGACTTCTTCAAGAAGTCTTCTGGGTTGACATCGATGAGTACTAGTACTGAGTGCCATTATTCTCTACTCGTTCCTAGTTTATGATGCACAGTGTGAGACAGTGGCCGAGTGCGTAGAACACGCTTCTGAACGATGTACTTGGATTGCTATATATGCTCGAAAGGTCGTTGTAGTCGAAACATTGAAAAGGCCTAAAAATATCCTACCCAAATTTTCTCGCTGCTCGTGTGGGATGGGATAAGGCCAAGATTGTTTTGTACGGCGGCAGCGTGTAAGGCTTCTTTCATTGACTAGTATTAAGCTGAAGCACGCTCATGCATCGCCTTACAACCCTCGATCCTTGCCAGTACATGACACTGCATATCTCGATTAACAACTTTGCCATTGTCAGTGACTCACGCCGATAATCTTTGTGGTATCACCACTCAGGTTCAAAGCGGTCGGGTCTGTCGCTGGGTTTACCGTGGACTTGTACCTCCCAGTTCCTGCGCCTCGAGAAAGGCTTTTAAACTCATACCGACCCAATGCTGATAGTGGAGTATACAAATGAAGTGGGATTGGGTTGATTGGTAGATTGCAAGGGGATGTCTTTCGACTCGGCTTGCGGCTGGTCTGATACAATTGTATGTGCCAACTATTTCCAGCGCATCGCACTCATAGGCCCAGTGTGGCACTATGGTGGGCCGGAAGTGACGCCATACTTGCCCCCCTGGGGCGACCGGCGTTTCTGAGGAGTATATGCCCTCTTCGTATCCGACGCAAAGCTCTTCGAGCTTCTGCCTAAATCGCTTTGGTCAGGTTACTGCATTCGACGACCGTTTCTCAGGCTCTCTCACGAGAAGGGTTTCGTGCCGATAATGTAGCCGGTGTACTTGATGGAAGAATTCCGGGGGAAGACGGCCAGAGTCGTCTCCGGTGGTCAACACGAACTTCTGAGATGAATGTATGTGCAGCTGGATTCCAGCGGCAAGAATCTTCGCGACATCGACGTAAATGCAAACGTCAGCGCTTCCGGCAAGGCCTGTTCAAGAAAACGTCGATTTGGGTATGGAAGACGCGAAAACATGCCCACTTTGGCTGAGTTTTCGAGGTGCTCGGGTCGGAATGAGGTGGAGGAAGTTGTCTGCAGGGCTTTTTTGGAGTCCGAAAGTTTCTACACCAAGCACATGAAGCGAGAAAATTCAGCTTTAGCCATAAGAACCTACGTATGAACTTCCAATTCTCCAAACTAGTGGTACCAGCCAGGTGGGGCAGTTCTTTGACGGATCGCACGCGTCTAAGTCTCGTGTCTATGGACTGGAGTGCAGGACGGATGAGAATTCAAGTGACGATGAGGAACTGATACTCACAGGAATGGAGTGCTTGTGCCTGGCCCGCATCCACCACATTTGCACTCCGGTCCGCTCGTCTCGCTCCAGAACATGTTGGAATAGCCCCCCTGCCATCTCCAATGCCCTATCGAATTCCTCGGAGGGCATTCCGCTAAAACGCGGGCAGTTTTTCTGTGAAACGGCTTAGATTGGCTGGTAGCAAGTACCCAAGCTCCCGACATACGATGTGATCGTGACGAACGAAGCCGTTGGGCTGAATAGGCACATTCATTTTGACTGCACTGTGCCGAAGGATCCAATTGAGTGTCTTGGAAAAGTGGACGACGGGGTCCGAATCCTGTTCGCCTTCCGCTGGATCTGGATGAAGTTCGGGTGACGACCGGAGAGGTGTAGTAGTCGCGTCGAGAGCCTCGGTGTATATGGGCCGACGTAGGTGGAGTATGCGAGCCCAGATACTGCGAGAGACGGCTCCCCCCAAGACTCCTCCAAGAATCATGGAACGGGGCGCATGAAGACCACGAAATTTTGTTTGCCTATGTTGTTCCCACTTCTCACCTCGATTGACCAAGACGTGGCGCGCGAAACCGTCTCCCATGTCCCACTCACACACACACGCTCCTGGAGAGACTCACTCTCACTCACATGGCCCACCACAGCAGCAACAGCAGCAGCAGATGCCGCCACCGCCTCCCATCGACCCTCAACTGCAAGCAATGATCGACGCTGACTTCCAGCAAGTCGATGTCGCGCTGTCAGCGGATAATCACTCGGCTCTCTGCGGAGCCCATTCATTGGAGAAATGCGCAGACTGTGGTGTTGACTACGTGAACATGAACCGACTGTCACGAATCCTCGCTGTCAATCCGAACCTGCTGTGTCCACCGCCCGCGAATGTCGTGTCGCAGAAGCTGAGCCAGATGGTAACCCAGACGAAGGACGAAGGGAACGTGAGTGCTTCCGTCCTTCTCACTGACACGTAGCTCATTCCATTCCCACCGGCTTGCCAGACTCTTTTCAAAACGGGACAACCTGGTAATGCGATCAAGAAGTATACTGCTGCGCTCATGTACGCCGTACAACGACCGCCATGGGAAGCAAACCAGTTCATGCGCGAAGAGCTCTCCACCGTCATCTCCAACCGGTCAGCCGCATTCCTTGAATCAAAAGACTACGTGTCTGCTTTGGCGGATGCCGAAATCGTCATCCAGCTCAAAAGGAATTGGAGCAAAGGTCACTTCAGGAAATCGAAAGCTCTCGTAGCTATGGAGAGATACCATGAAGCAGCGGAGGCACTAAGTTTGGGTTTGGCCTTTGAACCAGGCAATGCAGTACGTGGCGACTTTCGTACAGTCAAACTCCTGGAGCTCACACCCAACTTAGGAACTTGTGGGATTTCTCGAAGAGATTCAGAAGAAAATGACGAGCAACGAGGAAAAGTCATGATATCGGGTTCAGGCGGAGTTGGTACACACATGTAGGATTAGATTGGACCCCGCGTGGTGTTCCGAATAATTAATTTATCTTCCCCTTGGATGCCTTGCTCTTCTCGTGGACTGCCGGTTGCTAGCGGTGCGCTTGTTCACATAATTTGATATGCTATATGCTTGACATTCAAAAATTTCCTTTTTCAGAGCGTAGATGTTGACGGCTGTCAGTGGTTCGCCTATTCTGCGATGATCTTCCGAAAACCCTTCCTTCATAAGTTCGAAATAGCATCAAAATCCGATCTCCAGGAGATGAGCGTACTCCAGCCGGTGACCGCTCAGTGCACATGCAAACTGCAATATTGCAATTAGCGCCAGGCCACTATTGATAACACGAATTTGAAGGGACAGTTGTGGTCTCTTCGCAGGAGACTTCTCTATTCTGTAAATCCTATGTCATCCCCACGGAACTCGGAAACCACTTTACCAAACCGTCACCCTCTGAGCATCCGAGATTTGAACGCGATGATTACGTTGTAGCGTCATGCATGTGACAGGAGTGATCAAATGTCACAACACATTCTCATCCTCTGGTCCTGCTCACCCCGGGTCGGAGTGTATCGCGCATTCTCTCAATCCAATACGTCTATCACGGATACCGTTCTTGACTGAACGTGGTCCCGACTCTTCAATGATAGAAGCCGAGGAACAAGGTCGGTCATCTTATTCTGTTACCTCTCTCAACGCCTCTAAATATCGACATTGCATCTTCCCAGACACCTGTCGCATATGCAGCGCGCCGGCAGAAGAGGAGCAGCCTCTATTCTATCCATGCAAATGTTCCGGGACTATCCGGTATATCCATCAGGATTGGTGCGTGTTTCGTCCCAATCCCTTTGTGTACATATACTCATGTGAGCAGTTTAACGACATGGCTGGCGCACAGTAAGAAGAAGACATGCGATGTGTGCAAGCACCCGTACTCTTTCACCAAGGGTAAGCCGCAAAACTGCGCTTTTTCCTGCGCACTAATCACTCCGTTCAGTCTATGCGAACGACATGCCGTCTAGGTTGCCGCCCATTCTGCTCCTACGACGAGTCGCCCAGCAAGCATTCTTCGCGATGCTGTTCGCTATCCGTGCTGTTGCAGTTTCCATCATCTGGCTCGCGCTTCTCCCGTGGATGACAGTGATGACTTGGAGGATTTATTTTACACTGGGCGATTCTGCGTACGTTTATAACTTCATCTGATGAGTTGTCCTCAAGTCGATGCCTATAGAGCTTGGTGGATTAGCGATAGACCCCGACCGGCAGATGTTGCAGGACCACCCAATCCCTTATACTCGGTGTTTCACCCTGACCCTGCGGCTCCGGCGTCAACCAGTCTTGTCACCCGGATTGCGACCAGCCCTCTGTGGGCCTCTCTCTCCACAGACATCTTTGCCGGTCAAATCATCGCTTCCCTTGTCGTGCTCACCTTCGTGGCCGTCTTCCTTCTACGGGAGTGGATCTCTCAAAACGCTAGACCGGGCATATTTGACGATGAGGAGGGTGCCCCAGCGCCTCCAGCGCCTGTTATAGCGCCTGCAGTGGCACCGATACAACTGCCACGGCCGGAGCGGAGACTGCAGCGGCTTCCGGAACCTTTTCTTGACGCCAACGAGCGGATCGCCTTTGCAGAAAGGCACCGGGAGATCTTGAGGCGCCAGGACAGCGGGGTTGAACTCAATAGCCGAGTTCGTGGGAAATCGGTTGGAAAGGACGAACTGCAGGATCACAACAGGAGTAGCAGCTCTCACTCGAGCCGGCGCAGTGTTTCGGAACCACCTCTGCTGCGCGACTCCCCTGCTGTCGATTCCGTATCTGGTAGTCACAGCAGTAGTGGCACTGATGCATTGTTGGATCCGGACACGAAACTTCCGCCGACATTACCGGCCGTTCTGTCCAGTTACCAACAGCGTCGGCCGCCACTGCCGGTAACGACACCAACTGGTGAAGACCCCCTCGTACTGTTGACGCCAACCCAACCCCCGCTGTACTCACCGCAGCTCGCGACGTATCGGGCGCCAGAGGAGTTGGAGGCAGGGCCTTCGCGAGCGTACTTTGACGAGGCTGGGTCTGACTACAAAGGCAAACAGAAAGCGAGCGCCGAGCAGATGGAAGCCGAACACGACCTTTACTTCAAAACAGAAGAAGACGCCGAGATGCCGGCCTTGCAATCCACAAGTGATTCTGAGGACGACGAGCCCGTCTTTGATCACTCCCCAGTCGCTGAAAGCCCGGAAGAGGAAGAGGAAGAGGAAGAGGAAGAGGAGGAAGAGGACTATGCCGACATGCCCGTTTGGGAGGCGATCGAGATCGAGGACGATGAAGTGGCCGAAGTGGGGGACGGAGAAATGATGAACGAGGACATGCGTGTCGCATTCGAAGAGGATGACGGACATGACGATCTTCCGGAGGGTGATATTGAGCTGGAGCCCATGAATGCCCCAGCTGGCCCGCAAGATGTTGTGTTCGAGGGCGATATGAACGACGATCTGGATGGAAACGTGGATGATGACATGGAGGGTGCAATGGAAGGTGAGGACACGGCCATCTTCCGGCTACACTCAGCAGTTGAGATTTGTACAGCGATTGGGATGCGAGGCCCCATCTTGGGTGTAGTCCAGAATGTGCGTATCTGCGCATCGTTCTGTCTCTGTATGCTTAGTTTCTCAAGGCGGCGCTCATGATCTTTGTCCTTGACACTGCGATCGGGCTTCTCGTATGGCTACCCTTCACGCTGGGTAAATCAGCCGCCCTCCTTTCGGTGCGCACCAACATCTTGCCCGATTTCCTTCTTTCTAACGTAGCTCAGCTAAATCCACAACGATTCTTCCAAATCATCCATTTTCCCATCCGGGCAATGCGCATCATGACAGACCCCGTCGTAGACGTGATCATGTATATGGTCGCGTCGCTTTTGGTTCCTATTGTGCTCCGAACCAGCCTTCGTGCCGTACGGCTTGCATTTGGCTCTGTGATGATGGTGGCCGGATTGGTCATCGGCAAGGCCAAGGTTGCACAGACTATGCAAGGTTTCGACTTACTGGTTGACCGTGTCAAGACACTCTCTTTTTCCTCGAAACCCATTCCAGACGTGGAAGAAAAGGCGGCAGAGTCCTCGATTTTGACGTATGTCATGAACGAGAGAACCGAACCGTACTTTGCAGCGCTCGGCAAAGAAGTTCGGGAGGGTGCAGAACAGGTCGCGGACACTTGGACACAGCTCGCGTTGGGTCACGGGCCAAAAGAGAAAGTGTTTGCTGTCGTGCTGGGGTACTTTGTGGTGGTGCTGATGGTCGCGCTCTACCTCAATCTCTTGACCGTCGGGAACATGAAATCCGCCGGCCGAGCAGTGCGGACAGCCGTCCGGGAACAATTGCTGGTGTTGAAAGTCGCTGCGTTTATTTTCATCGAGCTGGCGATCTTCCCATTTGGGTGCGGAGTCGTGCTCGATCTTTGCACGGTCTGGCTCTTCCCCGAGGCGAACTTTGTCTCTCGACTCGAGTTCTTCAAGCGGGCGGCGCTGACGGCGATGTTCTATCATTGGGTTGCAGGGACGATGTTTATGTATTCGTTTGCCGTGCTGCTTTCTGCATGCAGGACTTTGATGCGGCGGGGTGCGATGTGGTTCGTCAAGGATCCGCAGGACCAGAACACGCACCCAATCAGGGACATCCTCGATAGACCCACGTTGACGCAGTTGCGTAAGATCTTCATCAGCGGGGTCATGTACTCCGTCGTTGTCGCCGGTCTGGTCACCAGTGTCGCGGGACTTATTTGGGTGGGGGATCGGTCTGTACTGCCTCTCAGATGGAAGAACAGGTGAGTGTATTGCACGTGCGTCCTGTTCGCCTGATTCGAGATTGCAGGGAACCACTGTCTAGCGTGCCTGTCGACCTGCTGTTCCTCCATGTGGTTCTTCCTTACACGATGCGTTATTTCCGGCCTCGATCCCCGTTGCGCAGGGTTTCCAAGGCCCTTTGGAAGTTCGTTGCCCAAAAACTGCGCCTCTCCTCGTACTTTTTCGGCGGTCGCTACCCGCTCGAAGAGTTCACACCTGCCAGTTGGTCGGGGGTGCTCTTCCCCGTAACAGATTCAAAGGA